TGGCTACACCTTTTTGACACATAAACGCAGGTCTCCATTCTAGTTCTATGGATTAATAAAACCTCTTAAAGCCCACCCGGTCGCCCGCTTTAGTGACTTCTAAGCTGCTTAGATCACCTACACAAATATAAATGTTTAAACTCTTCAGTCAATACGGACGCGCTGCACATCGTCAGATCAGTTAGAATCTCAACAACTCAATCAATCAGTTCATTAAACATTTATTTTGCTGAATAACAGACTTAAACAATCAGCTGATGATCTAAACCGACTACTAATCTGCACTGAAAGTTGATTAAATTCTCTGGTTTTAACTTCTGAAGTTTGAATATTCACTGTTTTTTTTTTCTTCAGTCGTCTGTGATTGTAAACTGAAAATCTTTGGATTTTACACTGTTGGTCGGACAAAACAAGACATTTGATGGTTTATCTAACATTTTCATGGATTAAAAGAAGAATTGATTCAGCCGTGCAGTAATTGTTTGAGCAGTAGTATGAATGTTAATTGATATGTGATTCGTATCAAGCAATTAGGAACACATTGTTGATTATCTTCATGTGGTGTTTGGGTGAGTGAGAGGATGACCTGAAGGTGAATTAACACTGAATTCTTGTTCCAGTGTTTCCACCGCTGATAGGACTCACATGGCCTGACCTGCACTGTAACACACACACACACACACACACACACACACACACACACACACACACAGGCGCGTGTAAAGAATGCATGCATAATGCTTCCTGAGGAGGAACACAGGGTCAGGTGGGCTGCTGTCACTGCTTTAATCCACCGGTCTGCAGGAGTAGTCTCTGCATTGTTGTTGTTGTTGTATCAGTCAGGGAGGGAGGGGCGGAGGGAGGGAGGGAGGGAGACCACCCTGCTCCCCTCAGCTGTGGGTTGATGAGGTAGCTGACCTTTGCACATTTCGTCTCCGTGTCCACCTGCTCTCGTCTCCGGAACTGTTTCCACCTCGAAAGTCCACAACAGGTGTGACCCCTCTGATCTCCAGGTCCCCCCCCCCCCCGACCCCTCTGATGTAATTCATTAGTAACTGCAAAGAGCAGAGATAACTCGCTCGTGGGTTGATTTATTGAACTTAATCACCCTGCACACTCATCACTCCGCCAGCCGTTGCAGCAGAAGCGGAGCAGTTGAATGTGGCTGCATAAGTCCACACCCTTTTGCTCTGTTTCCCCTGTGTCCCAGTTGCCCACTGGGCTTCCCCCCCCACCCATCTGCTGTTAGACTCTGGGTTGTAGCTGCCCTCTAGTGGCTGCTGGGTGGAAACTACACTCTGAATGCAGCCAAATAGGCCCATAGGTTCTGCGGAACGGGGATTTACTGGAGATTAAAGTTAAAATTAACCTGCTTAAAACAGCTGCGTCCCTTTTTTCACTTTTTTTTCCCCCCAACAGATTACTGATAATGTCTGTCTAGACGGACATATCGACTCCATCATTGTACATGAGTGGGTGCCAACTGCGATTATCAAACATCAGTAAAGACTGAACAAAATGTGGAATTGAGTTTTTGAAAGTGTAATTAAATGTCAAATATCATATCAAAAAAAACGTGTTTTTCCCTTCACAGATTGTTTATTTTGAATTTTTTACAGGCATTAAAGGCTAAAACTGTCTATTATTGCACAAGAAAAAATGTTTAATGGTGACAAAATTAAAAAAAAGCAAAAATGAACCAAATTCTTTGTAGAAAAAATGTTTCTGATTCTCTCCGATCCCCTTACTCATTCTCCCGAGCCCACTGGGAGGCTGGAAACCACCGCTGTGCATCATGCATATCTTGTGGTTCAGTTTGCATCACTTATTTTTTTTCATTTATAGCAACAGTGTGATGACACAGTAAATTCATGTGGGTGCTGCTTCGACACAGGAAACCTCTGATGCCACATGTTGAGTCTGGAGAGTGTTTCTCTCACCAGTAGGGGACAGGATTCACACTCTGAGCCCAGTCTTCAGCCCCTATTTGGCTTTCTGAGCTTCAGATTCGGGAATAAATGGAGTCCTTAAGCTCTTTCTTGGCTTTCTTGTGTCAGTTTTTCAGGAGTTTCTGCCTGTCCTCCACTGACCCTTTCTGTACTTTGTCTGAATTGCCACAGCCCTTGTTTAGAGAAAACACCCCATGGTCGTGTCTGCAGGCTGGTTTGTTTGTAAGACGCTGACTAAAGGCTCATTCAGCAGTCTGAAACTCCTCATTCTTCTCTTTCCTGTGTATTTCCTGTCAAACCTCTGCTTATTCCTCCTCCTCACACCTCTGTGGCGGTAGGCCTCTGTGTGTTAATCTTTTGGCCCGCAGTCATGTTAGGAGTGTTAAGGGGATTAAAACATATCACCAAACTAATCTGCCCGTTACACCGACAACCGTGCTCCGCTCTATCCTGCCTTCCCCTCCCTCCCTCCCTCCTCTCACTTTTCCACTGTTTGTTATCAGGCCGCAGGAGGCAACGAGGCATCGCTCCTCGGAGATTAGCAGCGCGTGTCGGCCTTTGATTTCCTGACTTCAAGAGCTTTGTGCTGCCAGGTTATGATTTAAAAAAAGAAATAATATGATATAATATGAAGTCTGTGTCGTCTCCGGGCTGCGGTGTGTTTACTCTAATAATTCCATGTCAGATAAGGGAGGTATGCTCCCCGTGATGTACATCAAGCCCACATGCAGATGATGGATGTGCGGCTGTGTGTCTACCTGCCTGCTCGGGCATGCTTCAGCTAAACAGTAGACAGTGCGGGTCACTGCTGGGAGGGGTGCTATTGTCACAACTCTTCAAGTGTGTCCTCCATGTAAACTGTAACTCAACGCCTTTTTGTTCATTTTCTCTTTTGTCAACCTCTCAGTTTTTTCTTTTTTTCCCCTCCTCCTCCGCCTCCTCACGCTCATCCACCTCTTTTTTTTGGTGTGTAAATGCCTCCATGGTTCATGAAAAGGAGAAAGAAAGAGTGGGAGCTGGACAGACAGAGGCCTTTTGTTTCCAAATTAGGCACTGCTCCCTCCTTGCCAAAACTAACTGTTATTGTGAAAACTGTGATATGAAATCCCCACTCAGTGCTGCCACTGTGAAATGGAGCGCTTGTGTATTTTCAGATATTAAACCCCTGTCTGGCTTTAGACCGGAGATACAATACGATCCAACTGCTGCTCTTAGGGGTGGCGGACGGTCTGTGATTCCCTTGTTCGCTCGGGTGTGGTCTGTTCTCACATCTCTCCCCTCCTGGAGAAGAATCGGACCTCCTCGTGTGCCCGACGGCGATCCAGTCTCCTCTCCGCAGGGGTGGTTTCCACCAGAACCCTGAACCCTGGTCTGAGCCACAGAGAGGGAGAAAGAGAGAAGAGAACCCCCCCCCAACAGCCGCAGCCTTCTGACTTTATGAGGAACCCTAATTACATAGCCTAGTGTATTTATACTCAGCTGTGACTCAGTGAGACATGTGGCGTGTGTTTGTGTGTATGTGCAATGCACAGGAGAAGCAGCCTTTGTGTTCACACACAAACGGTATGTGCATGTGTGTGTGCATTAGTGAAAGTGTGTGCTGACTCTTTAAACTATTTAAACCAGGGATGGAGTGGAGGGTAGAGCCACCTAAACCTGGTTATTTGTTGCAGAAAAGGTGCTTTTAAAGGGACGCAATTTCACTTTTGAAAAGAGAAATAAAACAATGTTCCTCTTACATACATTGCTCATTCAGTATCCTCACTACAGCCTTACTTGGTCTGGTATGACCAGTAGATGTTAGCAAACTTGAAGTGATATTGTGTAACTGAGTCAGTTTTCTGTCAAACAAACACACCGAACCTCACCAGCACTCTCTCTCAGTCCTGCTTGTGTTTTGCTCAGTCACATTGGTGAACACTGATGTCTTTTAAAGGGGCACTTTAAAGCCCAGAGTAATGTCATTAGGGTTGTTATGAGTTGGTCTTGGATGGAAAGTCTGTGTTGGAAAACTGGGGGCATGGAGTTTTAATGGCATGGGCGTTCACCAGACAGGGAGGTTCGAAATAATGAAATACACTATCGTGTTGCATTATGGGAAGTGTAGGAGTCAGGGATTTGGAGCTCGACCGATACAGTGGACTGCTCTTTCTTCTTTTTGCATGTCTATTTCTGTCACTTCTAATGTGTGTAACCGAGTGTAACACCATGAACATCTTTGAGACGGAGTCGGAGAATGTGCTGTTATTTCTATATTTTAACAGCGAGAAGGAGACACTACAGAGAGTGTTTGTCCCTTCTATGCTTTTATTCCATCTATTCCAGTAGATCTTCCTCAATGTTACACACTGGACCTTTTTAAAGTAGCTAACAACACATTGGGGAAACGACTTTTATCTTTTGTATTTTCATTGTGATTTTGATTTATTGTTTGTTTGAGTTTTCTAGGACTTTCTTGGCAGTGCACAAACCTTTCTATAAAAGCTCCTCCACAAATCTAAAATGTGTGTTATGACATCAGACTGTACACCATCCCATTCTTTGTATCTGTTCTTATAAACAAACAGGAAGAAATAACACAACAAAGACAGATCAAAACAATGCAACTCATGAGGTCAGACCCTAAAACCATCCTCTAATAGCTCGCTGGATATTTGCATTGTGATTCCTGATATTCTTCGAGCCCTCAAATCACCTTTCCATGAATTTATCACCTCCTCCGTTCTGCACAAACTATTCGAGCCTGCAGAGTGTGTTCTTGTAGACAAAGCGCAGCATATCCAGAGGGTACAGTCTCTGTGTCTATGGCGGCCTGCTGCAGTCGAGTTGATACTTGCCCCGTCGTGCGGCAGGTGAAACCTGTCTAACCTCATTGGTAACGGATGTACGGCGTGTTAACAACGATGAGCGTTGGAGGGGAAAGTCTGCAACAACATGGTCACCTGTCTGCCGCTCTCGCACGAATTCTGGACGCCTGGCTGTTTGGTGAGAACTCTGCCGTGTGTGGGCGACCGGACGGGACGGGGGCAGGTCATCTTGCTGACTGATTTAGTAGCGTGGAGTTTAGGTGTCACTGTGCTGTATGCGGTGGATCCTGTTTAATAGGAGAGAGAGTGTGTGTGTGAGGGAGTTTGATAGAGCGGTCATGCTGACATCCAGTAGCAGTCATTTTTTTTTGAGAGCGTTCTCCTCTTTCTTGTTCAGCTCTTTCCATGTTCTCCTCTCATTATCATCTTCCCTCCTCTATATTTTTCCCTCTTAAGCGAAAAAAAGAAAGGGAGTGAAACACAGTGAACACAGCAGCAAGGCAAATGTTTTCTTTTCTCTTTGTGCTGGAAATTGGCCTCTTTTTCTCCCCTTTTTTTTCTTTTTTGTTTGTCTCCCCTCTGGGTGGAGGGGAGGCGGCGGCGGAGGCAGGGCCGGCTTTTGTGGAGTTTAGCGCCGGGATCACAGCTTTGTCGCTGTGTTTGTGTCGCTCACACACACACACACACACACACATGCAGCACACGTGTGGCCAACCAGGCTCCCTCTGTACACGGCACAAGAGAGATCTACAGTGGGTTTAGCCTAACAGCAGCAGCCTATAGGCGATATCTCCATCTGGACTGTTAACTGCTGGAGCAGGACCCCCTTCCTCCTCCTCCTCCTCCTCCTCCTCCAGTGCCTCAGTGATGTCCAGTGTTTTTGGATCAAACTACAGTTCCAGTTGACTGTACCAGTTGATGACTGTCGGACCGGTTCGTGTGGAGGGAGTGAGCGATTGTTTGGATACGGATTGAGTAACAAAAACAAGGAAGGAAGAAAAGAAAGCAAAAGAGAAAAAGGAGGTGACGGAGCTGAAGTGTGCTCAGTAAGGAGAGAGTGAGAGAGAGAGAGTGACAGAGAGAGAGAGAGAGAGAGAGAGAGAGAAGGGACTTGTGTGGCACTAGAGATATAGGGAGAAGAAGAGAGAGAGAGAGAGAGAGAGAGAGAGAGAGAGAGAGAGAGAGCAGTGGGAGGGAGAGAGAGAGAGAGAGAGAGAGAGAGAGAGGATCCAGCCCTCTGGGACAGCAGTGTGTGTTTTGGGGGTGGACAGAGTGGCTTTGTATGCAGAACATCACCGGACACCAACGGGAGGGACGCTGTCAGTTGTTCTCTGTGTGTGTGTGTCTGTAGTGAAACCAGACCTACCTCTGATCCCTGCGCCACACACACACACACACACACACACACACACACACACACACACAGACACACACACACACTCCTCCATCTGCTGCCCAGGAGCCTGCCTTCTGCCTCCCTCTGGACTGAACCCCTCTGAGAGTGTTTGAATGTGTGCGAGAGAGTCTCGCAGAGCTGATTCCCGGAGGTCAGGAGCGATAGGCTGTGATGTGGAACTTGTGGGATTAAACTTTTCTGGCGGCTCGGCAGCGACAGCGATGGATTGGAGCCGAGAGACGGGAACTTCAAACTCTTGAATGACCAGAGGAGGATTTGCGAGCCCCACTAAAAACCACCCGTCTTCTCTTTCCCCTGATTCTATCTTCTGTACTTCTGCGCCTGGACCTTGTGTCAGTGTGTGAGCGGCCCATGTGGGCGGTGAGGGATGTGGATCTGAGCAAACTGCACGCCCCGATGCCCGCTGCTATGCTCCCGTGCCCTGCGCCGGCCGGGTCTGACTGGAGCTTCCAGAACCCGGTGGGGGTGGACTGCAGCTCCCCCGAACCCCGCTGCATCTGGCTGGCGGTGCTCCGCGGTGCCACGGGTTCAGTGTCGCCGCCCGCGCCGCGCACCATGCCCACTGGGCACAATCAGAGCTCTCACCAGCCCAGGGTAAGCAGAGGTCACCCATCTTCCTCTTGTGGCCGGATACATAGTGATTGATTTAAAGCAGTTTAATGATTGGTTGATTGATTCTTATTGATTGTTAATTGAAGGCTATAATAATAATCTGATAATAAGGACGGTGTTTATGTATTTCTAAAGAAGCAAATAGCCTGTGAAATGTCAGGAAATAAGGACAGGAGTTCCCAGAGCCTCAGGTGTCATCTTCTACTAGTAAATAAATCTGTTTTAAAAGGTTTCCTGTCATATAAGATAGAAACAAAATGCAGACTCTCACATTAAACATAGGAGTTTCTGCCCATTAACTAACGGATTGATCGTCCATCGACCACCTAAGCTGCCCCTCCTGTATTTTACAAGCTAAGATATGGACGCAGATGTATTGTTTGCTGCCCGCGGGATTTCTGTGGCTCTCCAGAAATAAAAACTGCACACAGTGATATCAGCAGAATCCTCCCCAGAAACCGCCGTGTGGGACTTTTTCACTCACAAGTGTCAACAAAGTATCCGTGTAACTGTCAGCCCATTGTTTGAAGTCTGTTAACCACTCAGCTGCTGACAGATTCTTTAACCTCTCCAGTGTCTCCGGGCAGGTAGTTTGTGTGTGTTGTGTTGCCTTCGGGGCTGTTTCTGCTTGCCGCTCACTCGCTGTGTTCCTCAGACCGTCCGGGAATCGGTGTGACGTCACTTTGTGTTGATGGATTAAGATGCTGTGAGAGTATTACTGTACTCTAAATGTTTAAACATCTTCTCTTCTGAGCTTGTTTATTCTCTCTGGGATGGCCTTTATACGCTGTTTTTTTTATTATCAGATTGTCCTCGTTATTTGATGTTTGGCAGGTTTTTCTTTGTGATGGTAAAGATATCATACCGATAAGCTCCAATCATCTGGGTTTCTTTCTGTGACATAATGGTAAACAAAGTTATGCAAACAATGAGATCAGCGATCACACAGCAGAACGAAATCAGATATATATCTTTTATCTTTGCTTTTTACTTCTTTAAAGACCATTTCATGTAGCTCACATTATTTTTTTAACACATTGCTATATATAGTATGAATAATGCATTGAAGATATGCATTAAAGATGTAGAAGCGGTTGATTTTTCTGTTTCTCTGTGCTGCTTCATTCTTATTTTTCCTACAGCTGATGTGTGTGTTTTAGTCCGTATATTGACCCTTTACCGTTGACCCTTTACCGAGTTGTTTCTAATTAGTGGCTGAAGACAGATGCAAAGGGGAGGCTGCTACGTGCCACTTTTAGCGAGGTGTTGTGGAAGCTGTGCGATTGAGCATCCTCCCCCCCGCCCCTACAACGGCCCTCAGAATTCAGGGCATCACTTCCCCCACGTGATCCCATTTTAGTGTAGGCATTTATGTGGAATATCACATCCCCCTTTTTTCTTTTCCAGGTTGTTATAACCCCTCCCCACCCTCACCCCGACCCACGACAAGTTGACACAGTTACGAAATGCCACAATCAGGAATGTGAGTGTTGAAAGGGGGGGGTGGGGGGAGAGAGGCAGTACGGACACAGCTGAGACAAACACACTGTACACTGTTGTGGTTAAGGAGAGAGGTTTTCTGTTACAGGGAGGATTTTTTTTGGTAATGAGGTGGCATGAGTATTTGTCACCATACTCAAGTTGCTCCATGTCACTGATACATAATCCGATCCTTATGTTGCATTTGTTTACCTACAGGAGCCCTCACAACCAGAAAAAACACCACACAAGTTTGGAAAATCCATCGCCAAGTCAACATTTCACGTTAATAAGGTTACAAAAATGTGAAAAACACGATTGTCAAGGAAGCTTTTTTTCTATATAATGGCTAAAACTGATACAACCTTCTCACGCAAGCGTAGAAACCGATATGAATCGTTGTGTAATGAGCTCTTTTTGTGGTCCTGTCCCGTCATTCAGACAGTAGAGGCAGGAAGGGCCGCATTTAAACCCTCGTCATACACTAACTAGATGTGCTACCGAGTCACCCCGTAAAAGTTATTCTAAAACTTCTCCTCCTCCCTCTGGGCTCACGATTTAAAATGACCATGAGGTCTATAAAGATGGCGGGTCAGGTGTGAGTCAGACAAAAGCACAATATGTTTCGCTGTTCAAGAAAGCTAGAAAACCCTGTTTAACTGACATTGCATCATCACCTGTTGGCCTAGTTAAACTGACAATAACTGGTTTTTGAGCACACATACCATATTCATATTGACACTTGGGCGCATGCAAACACAAACACACACACACACACACACACACACACACACACACACACACACACACACACACACACAGGCCCACAAGCATGGCTGATAAAACACCTTGTTATGTAAATGACACAGGGATGTGCTGTATTTGAACCTGTGCTGCTTGTTCTGATCTTTATTTTGAATCCTCGGTTGTCGGTCAGGGTTGTGTCCTTCGGTTGGATATTCGTACACACTCATCATGCATCTCCTTCAGGAGGCATAGGATGCACTTAGACCTGCAGAGGTGGTGGAGCGCGCCAAACGTGTGGCCGGTGAGTCCCGGGAACAATCAGGGACGGGGTTTGACTTTTCACCGTCCCTCTCCCGTTTCCTCTTGGCAGCCCGGCTCAGGGGGCTGCGGGTGCAGACAGACATCAGGATTAAAGGCTCGTCAGCATTTGTAACGTCCGTAAAGCTCCACTTTTCAAACAGGTTGCAGCTCTCAGCTGTTTAAAAGAGCATTATTGTTCTGCCCTGCTGGGGTTTTAGCAGGAGCCCGGGCTCCCCGACAGCCAATGCATTCCTACGTGCTGCTTTACCTCTGGATGGAGTGAGGAGTGTGTGCCAACCACCACGTACGCTGCTACTGACGATTATGACACGACGATATCATCATGTCCTAGAAAAGCCTCTTACAAACCCCAAATCCATTTTCAGCAGACTTTTTGTGAAAGATAATCACTGACATGTTTTTTTTTTTGGATTTTAACAAAACTGATGGAGCTTTAAGCGTTGGCACTGCGAGTTAAAATCTGAAGATCTTACAGATTTCACTAAAACAGAAGAGTTGTCAGCAGGACATCCTCTCCCTGCACCACTTACATTCTGTCTTTTCAGTCATGCATCTTAATGATACGCTCTCTAATTGAAATCAGGCGGGGAAATATCCACAGGGAAGAGCTTGCTGCTGTGTGTGTGTGTGTGTGTGTGTGTGTGTGTGTGTCACCACTTTACCCACTAAACACCCCCTCAAAGCAGGAAGCTGTCGTGTGGCATTACAAAGCTGCTCTGCATATTCAAAAGCAATTGTTTCCAGTGCGGCTTTTTTTTTGTGTGTGTGTTTTTAATGACATAATCTTCAGGTGGTAATGTGATTCCCTCAAGGCTCTGTATTATTCAAAGGGCACTCAGAGTTTATTTGTTAACGTAATTGGCTGCAACCTGCGTGGACGTGTCACAGATTTCCGGTAAAAAGGAGTGCTAAAAAGATAAAATCCCAGTAGGAGAGTAGGAAATACCAAAAAACGTATTTTCTCAGCAGAACAAGAGCGAGGTTTCCCTCTTCTGTGCCCTAAGCCTGCATAGGAAGTCAAGTTTAGACTGAAAACCACAGAAGAAATTTTCCAAGTGCCTTGTTGGTTAAGTGTCCAACTGTCTGGAGAGGCATGTCAGCAAGTTTGGATCATCTTTTTTTTCTTCAGCTTTTTCAACCGAAGAAGACAAACTGGTTGCATCAAGGTGACAACAGTGCGAGAGAGAGGATTTTTATTTCTGGCTTCGGCGGGGGGATGGGGGGGGGGGGGGGGGGTGGTCGACTGTAGACCCGTCAGAATAGCCGAGCAGAGACACAGATCCCACACAGTCCAGAGCAGCCGAGTGGGAAACAGCGCTGGCTCAGAGACCCAGTCAGACCCTGTGTGTTTTGGGTAATCACAGGGTTTGGTATTCCCAGCGCCGGGAGGGGCCATGCGGTCGAAACCGGCGTGCTGGAGCCTGTCCCTCGCTGGGGCCCGATACTCCTCCTCCTCTTCGTCCTCCTCATCCTTCTCCTCTCATTCACTGTGCTCCCTCAGTTCCTCCGCCAGTTACAGTGTGTGTTTCAACATGTCCGGGCCAAACCGCTCCCTCTGAGGAATTCTTTTCCTCCTTTCACCCTCTTGCTCTTTCATTTCCTCTTTTTTTTTTCAAACTCTTCTCATTTTCTTCATCATTTTTATTTGACACCCCAAACACTCCTCCTTCCTCACGTACGTCTTTGTGCTGCTCTCTTGCCACATAATAGGCCTCAATGCTCGCCTCTTTGAGAAAATAGCAGGTGTTACTTTACGTTGTTTAGACTGCCAGACTAAAATCAGTCTGCAAAATATGCACTTCATACACACTTCAGAGCTCTGAGATGTTTTGGAGTAGAAGAGAACATTGAAGTTTTTCTCCAACGCGTATCTGCAAACCGAACGTTTCGGAAAGAAATCCCAATGTATTTTTGGCCTCTTTTTCCCTCGGATGGAACGTTAAAGTAGAGGGAGAAAATGTGCGGTAATGTCCGGATTTCCATTACACGAAAGCATGCGGTGAGAGAGGAAGAGGAGGTGGAAGGGAGGTGAGGTGACTGAAGGGAAAATGGAGAGAGAGAAAGAGGAGTTAACGAGAGGGAACGCGCTCTCCATGATGGCGAGTGAGAATCTCAAGAGTGGTTTTATTTATAGGAGCGCCTGGTTATCCCGCCCCGCAACGCTGCCACACTTCCTGCCTCCAGCCTGCCGCTTCCTGTTGTTGTGTGGCCTGCCAGGTCAAAGTGTGTGTGTGTGTGTGTGTGTGTGTGTGTGCCTGTGTTTGTTATATATCAGTGTGTGTTTGTGTGTAGAAAGGGGGCACAGGAAGCGAAACATGGGGTGTGCATTTTGTGGTGGGGTTGCGGGAGGAAGGGGGGGGGTCGCTGCTTGTAGTCTAGACATGTTCACCTCTGGCCCACTAACATTAAAACACACAAACAATGTCACACTTGAAACGGTCGGCAGAATGGAAGCACATGCAGAAAGAAGCTTAGATTTAGCTCACCTGGTAAATTATAGTATGAGTTCAACAGACTTTTAGTAAATGCATGAATCTGTCGGGCTTGGAGGGCATGTTCGCAGCTACCTCTGTGCACCCAGTTTGTTTAATAGTGAGCCTGGAGCGTTTAGTTTTACTTTGGCTGAATTTAATTGGAGGTGCAACATTGTCCTCCGTCACTGTAGCATTCACGGACGGGTGAAATCCTTCGGTTTGTTGTTCTTGAGCCCTAAACTCACCATATTGAAAGTGTAACGAGTAGATGAGGGCTGTTTAAAGGTTCAGTTTGACCCACAAGATGATTCTAGTGAAATAAATATGTGTTATGTTGTTCTATTTTTATTTTCTGTGAGGTAAAAATGCTATTTGAATATGTAGGATCCCCTGTTTCAAAGGCCATCTTCTTTACACAAATATGCTAATGCTTCGTCCCATTGCTCGTACTGAAGCCATAGTCGGCCATTTCTTCAATTCAATCGCTACTTATTTATTGTTTTTCATAATCTGAGCAGCAGAGTGACACTTTGCGCTGGAAGTCACTCAAGTAGGGGGAACGCGGGATCCAAGTACCATTTTGCATCTAATCAATACAATAAGTGTCTGCTATTGGCCCACTGCCCACCAATAAGTTTGTTCCTCCAAACGATAAAAGTTTTGGCACCGTAAAGCTGTCATTGAGATCACTTACCGTTTATCTTAAACTGTACCAATCCCATTATACACACATTATAAAGGACTGATCTGCATAGTCTACAGTTCTGGCAGTTAGTTTGTACAAATGATGCTCGACAGATTCAGTCAGTGCTTATTTTTAAAATAAATAAATAATGCCATTTATTTTTGATTAATAACTTAATCCTTTGATCTAGATGTCAGAAGAAAAGAAAAAAGAAAACCAGTACATATTTGCATGTGCATTGTGGGACAGCAGTGTCTAATATGCATGCTGATATCTACAAGTATATACATCACTATTCTACTGTGGATGCATTCAAAGAATTCTCCAAACCCAGATGCAATTGTTAGCGAGTTGTGTGGAATTTAGCCACAGCTTTTTATAAACACATCCTGTGTGCTAAAGCGACTCGGTCGGGACGACACATGGATGATTACAGTGTCGAGCTGTCTCTCAAATTCACGATCTGTTCTTTTAAGTCAGAAAGAGTTCAGTGAGTTCGGTTTCACTGAGTTTGATAGAGAACATGCAACACAAGATAACTAAACCACAGCTCGACTTCTGAGCTGACACGAGGATTTCCCTCCTCCTCCTCCTCCTCCTCCTCCTCCTCCTCCCGCCTGTTTGGTCAGGTGATTGTGTTTGACTGACAGATGTGGGTCGCCGGGGCAGCATGAAGGTGATAGTTCTCACGTGTGTCTGTCAGCTAAGCTAGCTGGGGCTTATTTACTCGGCCTCAGGAATGAGATATTTAGAGAGCGGGTGGAAATCTGCCTTTATTGTCCGCTCGGACTCCAGATCCCCCCCCCAACGGACCTTCTCTAGTTGTGATAAGACCAAGGTCAGTGTTAAACTGTGTGAAGTCCCACTTTCCCTCCTTGGTCCTGTGTCTAGACCCTTCCTGGTGGCGGACCCCCCCAGGTGTGTTTATGGACTATTGTTCTGAGGCTGGGTGGCATGCCGGACTGACCTGACTCTGAGCTGCATTCAGGACTTCATGAGGAAGCTGTTAATGTAATACCCAGCAGTCCGGGGTTGATGTCACCACTCTGTCCGCCTGCTGCAGTCTGGCTGTAGAGTTGTGCATCTCCGGGGAATTATAAAATGTGTTGCATGTGGAAAACTGTAGTATTTCTCCAGCGTTGGTGCTAATTATGGGAAAATACAGTAGATTCCCATCAGGGTTTGAGATAAAACTCATGTTAGAGGATTCATTTCTGCATAGTTTGAATCTAAGAGCGCACATGTGCTCACTCTGGACACCTAATCTGATCAAAACATATTTATAAATCATTTTGAATTTCACTAAATCTCTCTGTCTGTGTCCACAGGCTAAGGGGCGGAGGGATGGTCTCTCCTCAGCCGGTGACAACCCTCGGCCGCCGATGGCGACCCGGCCGGGAAGGGAGGGGGGCGGCGTGGGCTGGAAGGGTCCCCGGACGCTGGTTCTCCATAAGAACTCCCAGGGTTTCGGTTTCACCCTGCGGCACTTCATCGTTTACCCTCCAGAGTCGGCCCTGCACACCAACCTCAAGGTGAGACCTACAGGTGTCCTGAGAATGTTTTTCAAGATGTGGAAAGGTGTTGAATTATGTTAAATATATACAGTTTTCTGTTTTCCTTTCAGTGTTTAGTGTCATTAGGTCCTGCCATGTTTATTTTTAAACCACACATGGTCTCCATTTCATCCTAGCTGGCATTTAAAAGGTTTTTGGAAAAGCTTTTACGTTTAACTTGCTGAACCCCGGGACAGAGCCAATTTGAGCTCGGAGATAAAGCCAATCACACTGCAGCCGGGGGTCAGCGAGGTTGAGCTGAGCAAAATGAACTCGCAGACAAAAGGAGAAAACAAGCCGAGCTGATCAGAGACAACCGACTGAACAAACGAAAGCCTGTTAAAGGGTTATTAAAGGAGGCGGCAGCAAGATATGGAGGCAAAGAAACTACAAAATAAAGACTCTATAAGGGCTCTTTATTGGTCGGAGTACCTGCCAGACAGACTGGTTCATAAACTCCAAACTGTTTTTCAGTATCACTGCATGTTGTTTTCAGTCCTTGGTGAGTTCAGATTGTTCTGGTGTTTTGCAATGAGCCTCTATGTGAGAGAGTGGTTATTTAGCTCTTTGAGGTGTGGGGGCAAACGGCTCCAGATGTGAAATAGAGGGATATGGAGGCTGGGGTGGGGTGAGCCAGCTGAAACAAGGCCTCTATTATTATTCTACCACCCCACCATCCAGCAGCTGCAGATAGGAGCGCAGATTGAATGAGATCTGTTGTCTTAGCCTGGTACCACTCTCTGGCAGTCAGGCCGTACCAGGCCGGCCCAGAACAATAGGCCCACTGCTGGCCTTTGGCCTCGGCGCTGTCCTCGTCTCCTCTGCCTCGAGGGTCACATGGTGTTTTGGGACAATCGGACCCACAGAGCCGCCCGTTCTTAACTGAAGAGCATCCGTGGAAGTCTCCCAAATTACCCTCATAGTGTCCAATTATCAGAGGCCAACCGGGCGCATGACCCAACTGGGCCCTCATTTCATGGTTTCTGAAAGTCTTCAAGAGTCTTCAGTTCAATTATCTAAAAGAAAGATCAAGACTCTTCTCCTGTGTGGTCCTCTCCATCTTTGAAAATAGCTTGAAGATGTTCCTCTTCCGGCATTTCCCACTAAATCTAACATTTAAAGAAGTCAGATTTTGTATTTACCTTTGCGTTGCTGCGTTTAGCCCAGCAGCACTTATTCCCGATGGTTTCTCCTTGAAGTATTACGGCTTTGATTTGAGCTCATTTGTACTTCGCTTTGGATAAAAACTTCTTTGTAGATGTAGATAAAAAGACAGCAGAGAGGTAAAAGAGATTCTGCATGTTATGATTACAAAAGTTTAATGTTATATGTACATGATCACAATTACGCTGCTGTAGAATATAGAAATATGAGGATGAGGGTAGTTTCATACATGTAAATAGTTGCTTCAGACCGTGCACAGTGTACAGTATTTGACCCAGGTAGACTTGAGTCTTGTCTCCTCCTCAGTCCCAGATGTGTTCAGACTGGGGCCGGTCAGTTGCCGAGCGTCCCCAGCTCGGAGCTCTATTCTGGGGTCGGTAGCTCTCCTTTCTCTGCCTCTAAACCCCCCACCATTGTCTGCAGAGCCAGGAATGAGCCCACTCAGCGTAGCATAAAGCCAGGCAGCAGTCAGCCCACCGTGCCCCTAACCCCAAACTGTCCACTCAGCTTAGTGTATGTGTGTGTGTGTGTATGTGTGTGTGTATGTGTGTGTGATCAGACAACCTGCAGCTATCTAATCTCACCGCTGCCTGTTTGCCTCATGTGACGTCACGAGTACCTGCAGACTGCCTCACCTGAGAGTCAGTGTCTGTGTTGGAGCGGCACTCCAGCATGAAACGCTCATGAAAACAAACCGGTCGTTCTCTCCAGGTTTTGGCTCGAGTTCCCGGCGAAACAGGACGCTCAGAACGTCTCCTGTGGTCGGACGTTTGTGAAGACGTAGATATTAGTCACCCCTTACGCATTAGACTTGTCAAGGGTTCGAGACCTGGGTTCAAAGAGTTAAGACTTTAACCCGTTTTGTGTTGAAGGTTCAAGCACAAGCATATCCTCAGGTCAGAATGAGCATTTGGGAACATTCCCGCCTGTGGAAGCAGTGACAGACCAGCTAAATGAGAGTAAGAGAGCGACTGACAGTTTTTTGTCTTCACATCTCCGAACACACGGCAAAAAATCTGGGTGTCATATTTGACAAATAAATAAAATCCTGTCATTAGTAGCATCATTTGTGTCTTACATGCTTTTATTTCTTGACTGCTATAAACTTTTTATGTCTGTGTGGAGCAGTTGAGCCCCATTGCAATTATTTACCTATTATTAGTTACATTTCTCTTCTGTTTTCTATAAATAAATTGGATTTGAAGCGACTTAACTTGAATTTGAGCTTTAATTCTGTCTGTTTCTGTCCTTTTGCAGGATGAGGAGAACGGCAACGGAAAGGGTGAGTGTTACAGTGGGATAACTGATGATGTAATGAGCTGGGACCTCCTGTACTCCCTCCTGTCACCTCTGCTCTGCAGCCTTTCTGCGCCCCCTACAGGACACTATGCAGCACTGCATCTGAATAAGTCAACTGCACTTAGACACTCATGTGAGAACAATGATAGCCAGTAAATGTTAAGTATTAATATATTCCCCTTGGCCATGAAGGTCATGAACACAGGTACTCAAAGGTCATCACCTTTAAACACCAGGAGCAACCTAAAACTTTATTTCTAGTTTCCAGGGATTTGTTAGAACAATTTAACATTTTTACAACTCGGCAGGTACAATCCCTCACCTTTTTTCTTCTTTGTCTTTTGTCATCCAGGGTATCAGAAAGGTCGAATGGAGCCGATGGACACTATATTTGTGAAGAGTGTGAGAGAAAAGGGTCCGGCCCACCAGGCGGGCCTGTGCACAGGTAAAAGGGAACATGAGGCGCAGGAGCATTAACATCCTGATTTGCATTGTAAATCTGTTGGGAAGAACTCCGGTCATGTGACGCTGCAAACATGAGCAGGTGCACAGAGATGGGAGAGATTCAGAGAGGCGAAGCAGCCAAAAATATAAACTTTAGCCCAGAGAGACAAGTTGTTTTTTTTGGGGGTGATATAATACAGATACCAGTATGACAACTCAAATTCTCAAGTGCATTTGGATGTGACAGAGCTATTGAAGTGTTCCTGTTGCGTCTTGCTGCCTTAGCAGGGCAGCAGTCCACTCCCAGCAGCTCAGACAGACCAAACCTGTACTCCAGTTGTTTTAACACAAGCTGTCACATCCAGAAAGTCACATGCCGGCATGAACATATGCAAAAACACACGAGCACTGAGCATTTTTACGTGTTTCGGCTTGCCTTAAGTCAGCATGAATGAATTCATGCAAACATTGAACACATTTCCTTTCCTGGAGCTGTGCTGACGTCCCTGCACAACTTTGCTGTTAATCTGGGAGCATATTGCTCATGATTTGAGAGATATTTGAATTTAATCTATGTGAGATCACCAAAAAGATACTGATACGTGTTTGAGACAACAAGCTTGCTTTTTATTATAATGATAAAAAGAATAAATTAGAAGTGGCTCAGGCTGAGGTACTTTGTATGGCACACCTCTCATGCCTGACACAGATAATAAACTTACAGTTTTGCCTGCCTGGTTTTGGTTTTGTTGAAATTAGACACACACATTGGCCATTAGAACATACATAAAGAGAAAAATGAAAACAGATTTAGTCGCAAGTTGAAATATAACTTTTTTCCACCCCTGAATTTCAAATTGTGACGCTCGGTGTCTCAGCTCACCATCACAGAAGGTCAACATACAGGCCTGTGTTTAATATGATAACATGAGATAACATGTCTTGCAGGGGATCGGCTGGTGAAAGTGAACGGAGAGAGTGTCCTCGGAAAGACGTACTCGCAGGTGATAGCCCTCATTCAGAACAGGTAAGACCTCCCTCCTGTCGGCACTTTGAGCCTTTGTCGTGTTGATTTAGTGAGCAATCTGTTTGCTTTTTCTTTGCAAAGTCACCGTAGAGATGACATACATGTAGACACTAGTATTATTTTTTCCTGCTTTTAAAAAAAGAGTAGCCTGAAGCAGCGTACTCCACACACCAGATAATATGGTTCTCTGGTGGGGGAATGAGGGGCTTTAATAACACATACACCAGTAAGGTTTTATCTGGTAGATAATTTTATTCTGATGACCTTTTCCAGGCTGTGTTTATATCCAAATGTACAATGCAGAATCCACAGGGAGGTCAGAGGCCAGCTACACAGCTGGCTGCTGTTACGAATGTACGATCCAACTTGTTCGACTTCCAATCCGATACCAGTGCTCTCTTTTTTTTAAATCTGTACACCCCACAGCATGAAACTCATTAGAATAATTTCTTACATAAGGCATAAGGGATTTCTGTGGAAACTGAGAGCAGTTAATGTGAATGAAAGCAGAAACATTACATTTTATAATGACTATGACAATGAAAGTGTATTTGATGTGGATTGGGTGCATCTGGCGGATACCCGATCCACCAGTCAGTGAAGCCTGATACAGATTGGTGTTTTAGTGCAGTTAAACCTTTCTATAAATTAGGATTAATTACTGAGTTTAACACAGAATTGTTTCACACACTTTGTGTCAAGCACTAGGTCAGGATAGGAAATGTGAACTGTTTATCTTTTAGTCGAATGGAGCGTTTTTCACCTCTCTTTTTTTCTTCCTGTCCTCCCCTCTTCCTCCCCCTGTACATGTACTTGCAGTGAGAGTGTGTTGGAGCTCTCCATTATGCCAAAAGATGAAGATGTGCTTCAGTTGGTAAGTGTGAGTATGGTATTTTTCACGCACCTTATCCCACCAAATCAACAAAACTAACCCACACACACATCACGCATTACACATTTAAATGCATTATTCCAGGACACTGCAGGAATATTCTGCAGTCCTCGCGTGCAGAGTTCAACCTAGATTCACCCCGTCATTGTCGAAGAATGTAGAGATTTTCATAGAATGGCTTCAGAGTGACTCAGAGGCTCGCCACTCTGTGTTTAGATTACAACACGCATTCATTAAAAGCCACTGGTATCCTGACCGTGGAAAGCTTACGTTTGAATAAGAAACCAGCTCCGTGCTCGTTCACACACCCATGTACTGTACGGCGCATTTTTGTCACTCCACAGGTTGCTCCATGCTCGCTCACATGATCAGACATGCATCATCCCTCGCCCCTCCCATTAACCTGGAGCAACATGTCAACACACAAAACCCGGATCGGTGGATTTAAGCGATCCTTTTCGCACATGCAGGAACACCAGTGCTCCTGCCAAAAGGGCCCCACCAAAAAAACCGGGTGCTCCATTTAAGCATACTGCCATGTTTTAACATTATAAACCCACTGCTCTGTACTCACACTCCTCCCCTTGCTGCTACGCCTGTATCTGCTGCATTCCTAGCATGACATCACCAGTGCTGCGCCTCCTTCCACACTCCCACAGGGTGGAGTGAGGCAGAGAATGAGAGGGAGGAGAGAGGGAGTTTGGAAGGATCCGAGAGAGGGGACAACAAGGAGATCAACAGATAGAAAAATAGTCGACAAAAAGTAATAGAGGAAAGGAAAAACAAACAAAAGATTGAATGTTTCCGGGCGAGAGGAGGGCGTGAACTCTGAAGGACGGCAGGTTTTAGCAGCAGGAGTGTTGTGTCAGGAGTGTTGGTGAGGATAAGTCTCTGTTCTTCCTCCTCTGTTTCTGTTTGTGGTGACTACAAGCTTAACATGCAGGCTGAGGAAAGGTTCTGGATTCTGTTGGACGGTCTAGGTAACCCTTGAAAAACCTGTCTGTCTGTGTGATTTTAGCTTTAGTCAGAGTGGAAAGATTGTTGTTAGCAAGTGTGTTTTTGTACTTCTGGTGTTATGAAGTGGAGTCGAAGTTGTCAGTGATGCTTTAAATGTGACTAATGGATAAAGTAATCAGTTCGTTCTACGCTTTCTTTCTTTATTTTCAATGGCTACCCTTTAAAGCAGTGCAGTGTGTATTTATAGTGTGTGTGTGTGTGTGTGTGTATACACAGCACTGGTATGTATTTGCAGCTGGCTGCAGTGCAGTGAGTATTGTGGCTTTTGCTTCAGGCAGTTCATGCAGTTTGCTAGCTAGCATGTGTTTGCGAGAGCTGAGGCCCCGGGGACAAACTGTGGCAGAGGGGTTGAGCTGAGGGACGGTCCCACTCGAAGGCTTGTTGTTGAGTTATATTATAGTGTTGTTATCAGACTTATGAGCACATAATGATTTACAGTCGCCTCACACACCTTTTCTCCAAGCTTTCCTCCAGTGTGTCTTATCTCACTTCTCCCTTTTTCCCTCCCTCTCCCAGGCATACTCCCAGGATGCCTACCTGACAGGCAACGAACCCTACTCAGGGGGAGCTGAGAACCTCCCACCGCCGCCTCCCCTCTGTTACCCACGCTCCAAGAACACGCCCCCTGCTGGAGCCCCTCCACCAGCCCCCATGGGCCAGAACCAGCTGGATAACTGGAGTCGCTGGCCAGGTTCCTCCAGCCCCTCTTCACCCCTGGACAACCGCTCCGCTGTGGGCAGCCCAGCCAGCTGGCAGGAAGGGCGGGCAGGAGAGCCAGGCGGTGTGGGTCACAGCAGCCCGGCCCACCGCACAGAGGAGATCCAGTACGGTATGACCAGCCAGCAACCTCAGGGACAGACCAGGGGGCGCTCCTACTCTTCGTCTTCCTCATCGGGAGGCCCCTTGTCCAGCCCGCTGCAAGTCCACTACCCAAACCACCACGCTTCCAGCTCCTCCCAGGCTAAGCCGCGCAAGTCCAGCTCAGCCTGGACCAGTCCCCCCCTGCCCCAGCTCAGCCACGGCCGCAATGAGCGCTGCCAGCAGGCCCTTTCTGACTGGTACTTCAACCAGAACCCTGAGCGCTCAGGACGCAGCATGCAGACCCGCCACCGCAGCTACTCTCAGGACCGGCTCAGTGAAAACAGGAGGCAGCAGCAGCGGACAGGTGGCTGGCCGCACAGCGCCTCCCAGGACACTCTGCTGTTACTACAGCAGTCAGGACCAGGACCCCATGGAGAGCCTTACTGGTCCTATGGAGACTGGGAGGGGGGCCCAGATAGGGGGCAACCAGTCTCTAACTATACCCGAACACGCTCTGAAAACCTGCTGGCCCAGTACGATCGCCACGGCCGCTCGTTAGAGATGCTGGACCGAGCGGCAGCTGGACTGGTCTCGCCTCGGTTTGAGAGGCCTTCGTGGATCCAGCAGGCTCCGCAGCCACCCCCCAGGACTGACGCCTACCCGAGGCAGGGGAGTCATTACGGTGCAGCACAAGCTCCTCCGATGTCTCGACCGTCACATTCTAAACACCACCCCCAGACTCACACCCAGGCCCACTCCCAGTCTCAGCCCCAGCAGGCCGCCCCCCAGAGCAGACGACTTCCCACCGGGCAGAGCATGGACGACCAGCCGGTGGGCTACCGCAGCTACAGCCCCTCTTTTTACCGCAAGACTGGCCGCATCATGCAGCAAGCCCACTCTTTCAGGGACCCTTCGTACTCTGGCCCCCACTTGAACTGGAACCCAACACCCAAAAGCCCCCCAGAGGGCACAACAGCACCCATCACTGCCTCTACCGCGCCCCCTCTTGCCTCCGCCTCTCCCGAATCCCAGGACAGAGCGTACAGGCCGACAAACCACGAGAGGGAACGAGGGTCAGTGGAGGGGCAGGCGGAGGTGGCACAGACCCAGGAAGTGGTGCTGAGGCAGAAACCTCCCACCGGGCGGAGGAACGCCTACGGTATGCGTCACCCCCACTACGCGCTGCCCATGGACGGGCTAGAACCCTCTTTGTTTTCTCCTGATCCCCAAGACTCAGCCCCTGCCCCTGGTTCCACAGGAGACGTAGCCCCACGCAGACCTAACGGCAACCTCGCCCCCCTTCCCATAGAGGATGACTCCCTGGCCTCAATCCCCTTCATAGGTAAGCAAACCCCTAACCCCCCCCCCGCACAAAAAAACCTCCAGCTGACCTCGAGTTTTTTATCGCTTCTCTTCTGAAATGTAACCACATCGAGTGTTTGTTGAACGTTAGTGAAAGCTTAACTGGGAGGAAATGCAAAGCTATAATTCAGACAAAATTATGAGTTTGGGGGGAATGTGTGTGTTCTCTTAATTTCCTTCTTGTCTGTCTATTTAGGCTCCAGGCTCTGTTTAGATGCAGTTTCCATTCTGTCATTGGTGTGTGCTGGTGTGTGTGTGTGTGTGTGTGTGTGTGTGTTTGTCTGTGAATGTTTTGCGTTGGGTAATTCTGGCGCTTCCGACGGTCTTACAGGCAGCATTAGTAGTTTCACTGAATCATATCTGGTGGTAGTTCACTAATCCTGCTTCTGGATCTCTAAGGTCACCGTGCTGAGGAAATGAGGCGGAGTCTTCCTGAATGTGTGTGTGAGCAAAGATATTTACTATAATTCCTGTAGTATTGCTGCCCGTCATCCATTTCTGTTAGTGAGTCAGTGACTGTATTGGTTCTAAGCCATGCTAGTGCCGTAGTGTTGATTGGTCTGCTGCTTTTGGTCTCAATAAGTATCGGGCCGTTACATTTTATGGGGTCCACACATCCATGGCCCCCAGAGGAGGAATTCAAATGATTTAAATCAGCTCCTAACTTTTCCTCTTGCCCATTCATCAGATCAGAATGTTTTAATTTGTCCAAAACTTTGATTTATCGAGGAATTGAGGAAGTGTATTACTCATTATACAACACAAGGTTGTATAACGAAATGAAAGTTTCCAGTTCCTTCAAACTACACACAGAGAAAAAGATAATTAAATCACTGAATAACATAGAAAATCAAATCAAATAAACTAATATAACTGTTATTTATGCATCTTGATGCAGTGCATCTTTTGAATTTGAGTCAGGGGGAGTGTAAACAGCAGCAGATAGTGATGATAATACGGTTTCATCTCCACATAAAAAGAAACAGTGTCCATTCACACTGACAGCTCTGCATATGACCAAATACCAGCACAACTGATAACATCCCCTTCAACCTCGGCTGCATACTTTGTATTTGATGCAAATCAGCTGACGTTAGCACGCTAAACTGAGGATGGTGAACACTGTAAATATTATACCTGCTAAACATCAGCTCCATGGGGGGTCGCTGGGGCTTCTTGATTTTAAGGCATGCAAGAAAACCTTAAAAGATATACAGTAGGCCTATATCACAGCATCTGGTTCACTTCTGTGAAGAAAAGTAAATGGAAAATAAATGAATCGAACAAAAACCAAGCATCAGGGAGAAGAAAACAGAGGATTTGTCTGAGAAAGAAGCTTATTAAGTCTGTGTGATTGTTTAAAATGGTTAAAAATACATAATACAGACAGATAATTGTATGAAAAAGTTCCCTATACAGGAAATAATCTGCTCAAAATTCATCCAAATCACACGTTTTACAAAAACTTCCTGCAGTTACAGAGTTCACTGTCTGAGTTCATTGTACAGTTTTGAATATAATAAGAAATATACAGAAAATATGTCACTGAGTCAGTAGAAAAGGGTTCCTTTAAGGAAAAGGGTTGGGAACCACTGCTCTAAAAGACACAGAAAGAAATTGAACATGTCAAAGTTTGCCCAAGATTAATATGAAAGTTAGATTAAATGAATCCAATGAAATCAAATTATATATTTACTCGCAGTGCTGGAAATTTGCCACAGTAATAATCTGTAACAGCTTCTGTGCATAATGCAGTTCTGTATCTATGTGAGTTTATGTCGACCGTGATGTACAGTACATAGTACAGCTATGGCCTACATATGTTGGTGTCAGTGGGAGGTGACTGTGGTCGTGTCCCGGCTTGTTTCCTGCTCTGAAAAGACCGAAAGAGAAGGGGCTCCGCAGGCTTCATGTTGGCTTGTATCACTCGACACGTTACAGCACCCATTAAGTCAAACCATACGCAAACGAAGTTAGTCGGTCATGCGAGCCATGCCTCCATCACCCTGTCACAGCCTGAAGAAAAAAAAAACCCCTAATGCTGAATAGATTCAAATCAGCTGACTTGGAAGCTCTGACCCAACATGGAATGGCCGTCGGTGTTTGAGCCAAGCCACGCTCGGCCAGAGAAAGTCATTTAAAGAGAGAAAATCCAGAGGTTCAGCAAACCATGAGGCATCTCTCTGCCTCTCTGTCAGTCTGTCAGAGCACATTCTTGCCTCGTACCTTCAGAAACCAGGCAGTCGGGAGCTGCAGGCCGGGACACGTCTGATGGCCATAAACTGAAACTAGGCTAGTTTCTCCCCATGGACAAAAAAAAAAAAACTAGCTTTTCTGTGCTCTTCCATCTCTTTATCTCTCTGACAGAGAGGCTGATATGATCTGGGCCCTGTTTGGGGAACATGTGATGTAATTGGCTGTTGTCGTTCTCGTCTACGAACGTCTGTGAGGTAGCGAGCACAAAGGCAGGGCTGTGTCTGACGGCGAATATGTATTTTTTTTTTATTTTTATGACGTCTCGATCGAAGATTTCCAAAACTTCGATCCGGGGGGGTTTCTATTTTTGCAGCTCGTACAGTTTTGAATCAAACAGGAAGTGGCACGTCAACATGATGCCGTATTTTACTCTGTGCCCACTCGGGAGTCTTTCAACATGAATCTAAGCTGTAAATTACCAGGAGGTTTTTGTGGCGGTCCTTGTGGGGAACAGTAGGGGCCCATACACTCAGCTCCCGCCCGACCCTCAATGCTGCTATTGTGCTGCTCTGGAAGATGAAGGGGTTTTGTGTGTGTCTGTGTGGGTGTGTGTGGTGGGGGGGGTTCAGTCTATGACTATCTTTACAAGCCGGATCCCGTGCACAACAGACCAGGACCAAGACCTTCTGTGCTGGCTTCTGTCCTGCTTCCAAAAAGGCCTCTGGTTCCCACTGTCTTGTCTTGCAGGCACTGGCTGCCTTTCTTTCCTCTGTCTTTCTGTCTTTTTATCCCATTCTTTTTCTTCTTTTTCCTCTCCTCTTGTAAAATCCTCTCTCCAAAAATGTTGCCATCTAAAGCTTTTTTTTTTTATGAACAGCAGACAGCTACTCCAATAAATCCTTTAAGTCATTTTTCAAGCAAAAGTGGTAATTGTGGTAAATATTAACTGGTCCCTGCTGCTCAACGGTCAGCATTTGCAGCATTTTTGCGGACAAATCAAACAAAACATGCAATTTGAAGTCGTCACCTCTGTTTTTTTAGGAAATTGTGTTGCAGAAAAACCCATTTCTTAAATAAAGGTATTGAAAAAAGTATAATTTGGGTTCTATTTAACTTTCAGTAAATAAATACAGTGAGTAAAGACTGCTATCCGCTTTTATATAAAATAAAATAGTAAATAATCCAATGAGTTTCAAAGGTATTTTAGGCAAAATCTTAAAGATCTGGTGCATTTTCACAGTACTGACTTGTATGTAGGTGTTTTTTTAAGGTTATTTTAGACTTCTTTTAACCGCTGTCTCTTTTATTCTTTTCCTCTCTAACTTCTTTCCTACTTCTACTCTTGCTCTCTGTCCATTCCTCGCCTCTCCTCCACATGTAATCTCTGAATTCGGAGCTCCACATATGTTGTAGGGACACGCTGTAGAGTCGGGGCAGGGTGTGCTGTAGTCTGTTGCTCCCCTCTGCTGGTCTGTCTCTGTCTCGTGGCTCTGAGCTCACTCCTCTGGCTGCCCGTTAATGACGGCCTTTGTTAAACCCACAGCCCGGCTATTTCTGGGCAGCGCTGTAAACAGGCAGATTCCTCATCCCAGATTGGAAATGTTTTCCGCCTTATGTCGGGCTCTAGCATGCACAGGAGTGGGGAACAGAACAGAAAGAGTGGTCGATGGAAGACAGCCAGAGGCAAAGAGAAACAGAAAGAGGAAAGAGGGTGAAAGATGGGAGTGATGGTGAAGGATGAGGGGTGTTTGCAGGATATTTCAGGGACAGAGAGGTGAGTAAAAAGAAAATCGGAGCTGAAAGGAGAAACTCTAGCAAAAAAAAAGACTGGTGGTTTGTGAAGTTCTTCCAGAGCTGTCCGAGGCTGTGCTGCCCCCTGTTGTTTCCACAGAGAACACACCAAAGCCTTGTAATTCAGTCCCTACAGTTTAAAATATCACCAATAAATCCAGCTACTCCTCACTTTATGCAAACATCTGCCCGCTCTCTAATCCTCAGTCAGGAAGTGTGAGTGTGTGTATTTGTGTGTGTGTGTGTGTGTGTGTGTGTGTTGTGGTTTCATATCCCTTTGCATTAGCTGAAACTATCAAAGATTCGTTTGACCTATAAAGCTGCAAAATGCATTTGTCTTCTCGTACACTGAAGCTTTCATTCATTGTGCAAAAACTACCACTAAATATCTACATTCAGATATGATAAATATGATATATATAATATATATATATATATGTGTTCTTTTTTGTCCTCGTCGGATTGTGACACTTTTCACTTGCATATCTCCTCACACGTCTCAGATCATACTTACTGTAGATCTCATAAAGAACTGAAACCTGGAGCCAGTAGATCTCTGTTACAGTACAAAACCACCTCTGTTAGCAGCAGAATAGCTCTTCCTATGGCAACAGGAGGCACAGGTACTGCGTTATCCGTAAACTATTTGCCTATTCTACCATGTCCCTGTGTAACTTTTTGTCTCTTTGCTCAGGTTGCATTTGTATTGTGTGTTACCTGGAACAGTTGCACAGGTTTTTAGATCGTTCAGCTTCTTTTTGTGGATTTGTACATGAGCGTGGATGCTTGTGTTTGTGGTCTAGTGTTTTGTGCAGTTCTTACAGGAACCAAGAAAATGTCTCTTGTTCGAGTATGATTATTATATGTGTTTATTTTGCCGTTGGAAGAATGAAATGAGTGGAAATCTTGTTTAGTATCTCTGATGGTAACCCTGCGGTTCCTCGCCGTTCCTCTCCCTTAAAACTCCTCTTCCACACCTTCCACTAATCTAACCCCCTTTTTACTTTCCTTCTTTTTCCCTTTTCTGACCTTTTTCTCTAACACCTAACCCTATCCCCTCTTCCTTTATCTCCTCTTCCTTTCTCCTCCTGCCTCCCCTTCCTTCCCATCCACCCTCCCACAGATGAGCCGACCAGCCCCGGCGCTGATTTGCGCGCCCGCCACGTGCCGGCGTCCTCCGTGGTGTCCAGCGGCATGAGTTCGGCGCCCGCCGTGGTCGCCAGCCCCGCCTCCCCTACCTTCACCTTCCCCCTCACTAGGCTCTTCTCACACGACTGCAGTGAGTGCCCCCTCCTCCCCCCTTCTCCTCTCCCTCGCTCCCCACTGCATGCAGCAGAGAAGCATCTTATTTGTGGCGTTTACCTGCGATGGAGACGATCCCTCTTTTTACTTCAGAGAGGGGTTGATGAAGCATGCATTTAAAAGTTGTTGGTCCTCTGTACCTTACATTTTATCAAGTGTTTTTTGCCAATTATTGAGTCTTAAAAGTCAACTGAAGCAGAAAAATCTGCCAATTGCAGTCTAATTCAAATGAAATTGTTTGAATTTTCATTTTTCATGATTCTAGTGCAGCAGTTTGCATAATAATTCAGTTTTCTTTCATAATACTGACATTCATTTCTACAACATTAGATTTTACTGGGAAAGAGGTCGAAATATTCCCAAAATTAGACTTTTTGGACTCAATAATAAGACAAATCCTTGGAAAGATGAGGTTTTTAGCAGTGCTGTAGTATTTGTGCATGGTGCGTTTGTAGATCGCATGTTTGACACAAAGAAAATTGTACAAACAGAATGTGTTTGTCTCTTTTTCCAGATGTGCATGAAGCCGTAGATTCAGTGTGTTTAGGTAAAATTGCACAATAGACTTGCATGATGTGTTTCTTTAAACAAGCGCATGTCAGTCTGTGTGTACAGAGGATGTATCTGCATGCCAGTGGTGAGAAAAGCGACCACAGATAATTGAATCTAACCCACCGCTCGAGCTCACCTCCCCACCATCCATCCTCACCACGCCACCCGTTCACTCACTACTCATACCCCCCCTCGACCTCCTCCTCCACCACCTCCTGCACCCTCCCTCGCTATCCCCGTCTCCTAATCCAACACCGTCCACACTGGTGATTGGCATTACATCAACATTCTGTCTTTCTCTCTGTCTCTTTCTCTTTGTTTCTCTTTTCTACTCTCTCTCTCTCTCTCTGTGCTCATTCATCCTCTCATCGAGCAGGCAGTATTAAATCCAGTCGCCGTTCCTCCTATCTTCTAGCCATCACCACCGAGCGCTCCAAGTCATGTGACGAAGGACTCAACACGTTCAGAGAGGAAGGACGAGTATTTTCGTGAGTACCATCAGACCGAGACAGTTGGCTGTCAGCTACATCAAAATGGCATCTATTGAATGACATGTGCAGGCAGACATTTTGACAGTTAACTCTCAGTTGTGTTGTTTTACTTCACAAGGAGGCTACCAAAGAGAGTGAAGAGTTTCTTCACAGAGGGGGTGAGTTCTTCACACACAAAGCGTCAGCCTCATTTTTACTGACTCTTGTCTTTCTTTTCTCACTATTTTGGCCGAGGTCAGCTACTGTCAGGTGGACTGCTGAAGCATTCACATGTTATTTTGTCAGAAAATAAACCCAAGAAAACTTAAAAAAAAACTAAAATGGAGGTCTTGCAGCTTAACAGATACATTAAACATACTTTAAACTTAATTTTAAGACTAAAAAAAGAATATCTGACAGTTGACACCATTACATAAACAGTGTCTTTCTTTATTTATAGTTGTAAAGTCGTGTAAAAGAAGTGATCAACGTAGACGGTGGCAGATCATTTCATGCATTTTCATTTTCACTTCACCTTAGAATTTAAGTCTCAATTCATGTTTTACTTTTCTTTTTTTTAACCTGTGACATGCTAAGATGTAGTGTAACAGCAGCACAAGAATTAGAGAGACAGAAAGTCACTGAAGTGTCTCAGTAATCTGACATTACTGGTACGTTTGGCTTAAGTTTGCTAGCATTAGCTAACATTATCCACCATGAGTAAGTCTGTAGCAACAAAACTTTTTATTTCTAAGATAAAACCTTTTCTTCAATAGTTGCATAGTCTCGGTTTAAAGGTTCAGTGTGTAGGATTTAGTAGAATCTAGCGGTGAAGTTGCAGATTGAAACCAACTTAACCAAGCATGTCGGAAAAATTACAGTAGCCACAAAACTCTCGTAAATCAAACACGACTCGCTTCCTCTGTAGATAAAAACAGCTCATTTTAAGGTAACGAAAACAGAACAACTCTTATTGTGAGCTGATTATACAGTAATTAAAACTCTTATTCCATTTCTGCCAATAGATCCTCCTAAATGTTACCCACTGGACCTTTAAATATCTGTCTTTTCCATCCACTTGTGTTCATCTGTTGGCCTGTCTGTGCCTTTGGTGATTTTAATTTCTGCAGTCAAGGTGCTTCAACCTTCAAACCTGTGTACGTGCTGAACTTTTCCCTTTCCTGTTTCAGTCTCTGGACAACCTTGGGACTGCAGAGGAGGTTCGATCCAAACGCCACTCCACCTCAGAGCTGGGAAACATCACTTACAGCGACGTACGACGAGAAGGATGGCTGCACTACAAACAAATCCTCACGGAGAAGGGCAAGGTGGGCACACCGGGCTTAATTAGAAAATAAATGAAGGCAGAAAAAACCCATTTAAAGACTCACATCTTATCTCATCTGTCCTTCACAGAAGGTGGGTAGCGGCATGCGTCCGTGGAAGAGAGTCTTTTCAGTCCTTCGCTCCCATTCGCTGTTCCTCTACAAGGACAAGAGGGAGGCGGTGCTTCGCGGGGCCACGATCGGAGGCGCGGCCGAGGACGAGCAGCCGATCAGCATCCGAGGCTGCCTGGTGGACATCGCGTACAGTGAGACAAAACGAAAGCACGCTCTGCGGCTCACCACCCAGGACTTCTGCGAGTACCTGCTGCAGGCCGAGGACCGAGAGGACATGCTGGACTGGATCAAGGTCATCAGGGAGAACAGCAAGACTGACAGCGAGGTCAGAGGACGCAGCTTTACCTGTCAGATTCCAACCTCCTCTGTTGCAGGTTTTATAAACGCAGGTGTGTTTGTTTGTTGCAGGAGCTCGGCTTTTCCAGACAGGCGCTCATCAATAAGAAACTGAATGATTACAGAAAACAGAGGTGAGTCCCCTGATGATAAGATTCCCTTCACCACTGCACTCATCCGACAGCTTGAATTAAACCTGTCTCTCTGTCTCCCCCTGCAGTCCGACAGGCAGCAAACCCGACTCCTCTCCCAGGATGCCCCGCATGAAGCCTCCCTTCCTGCTCGCCAAGGCGGAAAACGCTGCCGGTGCACCGCGCTCCCCCAAACCAGAGGGCAAAGGTCAGTGTCAGGGAACGAGAAACAATACTGGCAGTATTCTACTCACTGTGCAAAAAAAAATAAGTTATGAATTTACTGGAGCACAAAGTCTGCCATCCATTATCTCTTCAAGTGGAGCTCAGGGTAAAAAAATCTCTACAGAACAAAAAAGTTTAATTTCCACAGTCAAAACTCACAGATTTACGTAGTCAAGGATACCAAATTAGGCACTGTCAGTGAATAACTACCTCAAAAGCTGGCAACTGTATGATTTGTTTTGGATCAAATATCAGAAGTTTATGGTAACTATAGAGCTACAGTTACAGCTTTTATTATTTATGCCAACAAGTACAACACATAGTGGACACAAGCTCTTATATTAGAGCCAGGGTACAACACTAATATGATATCTATTCTTATTTTATTTAGGAAAGACTGAAAATAATCGCACCAAAATGTCACTAATTTTGATTATTGCAACTTATCATCCCTTTTCACTGTACTATTTATAATGCTTCAACCAGTTTGTTTAAAGAAAGATGCCCACATCTGTTTTACCTTTAAATCTGTATGTTAAAATATAACGGTTCAGTTGCAGGTGGTGTATTATCTCTTTTTTAAAATCTTTTCGGGGCCGCAGATGTGAGAATACTCAACGGGCTTTTTTTGAGAGCCTTTAAAATAAATAAATACTGAGGCTCTGAAGTATTTGTTTGATCTGTGTTTAGATGAGAGCGGCCCTCCGAAGTCTCCCTGGGGAATCAACATCATGAAGAAGACAAAGAAGGCCGGGCCCAAAGCCTTCGGTGTGCGGTTGGAGGATTGTCAGCCGGGTGTGAACAACAAGGTTAGCCTCGATATCCTCTCCGTCTTACCTGAGCGCGCTGAAACGTTTCACTTGTGATTAACTCTGTCTCTGTCCGTCTCTACGTCCGTCTCAGTTCATCCCGCTGATCGTGGAGATCTGCTGCGGTCTGGTGGAGGACATGGGTCTGGAGTACACCGGGATCTACAGAGTCCCCGGGAACAACGCCATGGTGTCGATGCTCCAGGATCAGCTCAACAAGGGCGTCGACATCAACCCCGCAGAGGAGGTGAGGAAATACACCTGTACGCTTACTGTAGGAAAAATATATCCAAACTGATGCAGAAAAAACACATTTAACTGACAGGTTTAAGTTTACTCAACAACAACACTGTGTCATTAGAGGCAGAAGGTAAAACACTGAGATCACTGACTCCTCTCTGTGTCTTCTGCTGTCAACAGAAGTGGCAGGACCTCAACGTCGTGAGCAGTTTACTCAAATCCTTCTTCAGGAAACTTCCAGAGCCGCTCTTCACCAACGGTGAGTCCAGACATGTCGGGACAAGCCATCACACAAACTCACATCGTCACACATTCCTGTCAAACCGACTCACCTTATCTTTATTTTAATATTCCTAATACCCTCGCAGACAAGTACAACGACTTCATCGACGCCAATCGGATGGAAAATGCATCAGAAAGACTGAAGACCATGAAGAAACTGGTACGTGTTTGTTTGTATGAATGAATGAATGAATGAATGAATGAATTTCAGCATGAACGTTGGCCTACTTGGCTAGTGTGTGTGTGTGTGTGTGTGTGTGTGTGTGTGTGTGTGTGTGTGTGTGTGTGTGTGTGGTAGAAGTCAGGCAAGTTCAACAGGTTTATCAGTTTTGTTATTCCTCCACTTTCGTAGATCCGAGACCTTCCCGATCATTATTACCACACTCTGAAGTTCCTGGTCGGTCACCTGAAGACTGTAGCCGACAGCTCCGACAAAAACAAGGTGTGTTTGTAAATATGATCAGAATATAATCACGTGTCAGTGCGATGTCCTTGGTATTAACGTCCCTTTGTCTTTACCTGGTGTGTGTGTGTTTGTTTGTGTGTGTGTGTGTGTGTGTGTGTGTGTGTGTGTGTGTGTGTGTGTGTGTGTGTGTGTGTGTGTGTGTGTGTGTGTGTGTGTGTGTAGATGGAGCCTCGTAACCTGGCTCTGGTGTTCGGGCCGACGCTGGTCCGGACGTCTGAGGACAACATGAAAGATATGGTCACACACATGCCCGACCGCTACAAGATAGTCGAGACGCTCATCCAACATGTGAGAGATGCCACACAAACACACACATACACACACGTACACACACAAAAATAAAGAATCCTTCTTATTCTGAATATCTCTTTGTGTTTCTTCTAGGGCCTCTGGTTTTTCGCTGATGAGCAAGACAAGGATGAAAAGGTTTGTTTCCCCATATTGTTGTTTAATAGCACGCAGACACTAAGGACTTATTCACACTCACACACTGGGGAGATTCAGCTACAGTAGCTCTGACAACCGCAAGTAATATGTTGTTTTGTGACTTCATTATCTGAGAATCTTTTCAAGTGAAGGTGTGAAATAACTAGTAAGTACACTTATTAACAAACCACAAAAATGTGAAGCTGCACTGCTCGGCGCTGACAGCAGCCAGTGTGCAAACTGCCTTGTTCCAATGTGTTTTTCCCCCAAACAAGAAAAGCTCTTATATAATATAATATAATTTCAGCTCTTATATAATATAATATATGCAATTCTGGATTATTTTGTATGATTTCTTTCATGTTTAAAGAAAAACAAGTATTTAAGGCTGAATCTGAGATGAAATGACTTAATTATCTGTGGCTATGATTCAGCTATGTACAGTTAAAATAAAAGATGTATTGATCTTTCTTTACATCATGCAGTTGAGGGATTATACTGTCTGCAAGGTCGCACGCAATCATAGTGATTGACTTACTCAAATAAAATTTCTTGTACTTCTATCTTTGTGATTAAGAAAACAGATAAAGCAAAAAAAAATGTGCTAAACATCGATTCAAAGGCAATAATCTGTAGAGAAATCACATCGGTTGAACGTTCAGTTCCCTGCACGTTGTTTGAATCTTCCTCTTAATCTCCACAAGTGTCAGGAAGTTGATGATAGATGCATCAACGCAGAGATGGTCGCAGTAAATCACAGCCTGTTTAATGTTTTTAATGTCTGATCCGTCCAGACGCCGGTGGACACGGAGGACGTGCAGCCCGCCCCCAACATAGACCACCTGCTGTCCAACATCGGCAGGACCGCTCTGCTCGGGGAGGCCTCAGGTGAGCTGCTTACTGCCAGTGACTGCTAGCTCTGACCGAGCCGACCAATAGCATTCGGGCAGCTGTAATTGGCAACCCCCAAAATTGAATGTTGCTCTCCGTTTAAAGCTGGAAGTAGGAAATTCCCCCATTAGTGCTTCATAATTACAATTTGTGTGTTCCAGCGAAACTGAGGGTGGCAAAAAAAAAACCAGCTGTCAGGATGGATTTTCTTTTTAAATGGGAGAGTAAAAGACACTTTTGATTGAAATTTTTCTATTGAGAGCATATTTCTAAGAATCCGTGACAGCGAATGACTTTGATATTCCTCCACGGAAGTTTGTCCCAGTTTGAAGCCAGAATTCCCTACTTTTCCTGGAACTGGAACACAGCATAAGAAATGAATCCTTACATCCGTTAGCACTTGGAGTGTTTCTGTGTTTGATAGCGTGCCTATACTTCTCTCCTTTCAGCTGACCTCTTTTTCCCCTCCACGTTGCTCATCTTTCACTTTCTCTGTACGTTTCCTCATTTCCTTCTCTTAGCTGAGCCTGTGGAGCAGCCACTGCGGTAGGATGGGAACTCCCCTGGCAATATGTGTGTGTGTGTGTGTGTGCGCGCAACAGAGCCAGTGCATCATATTGTGAAAGTGAAATAATGTGTGTGTGTGTGTGTGTGGGTGAGAGAGAGAGAGAGAGAGAGAGAGAGAGAGAGAGAAACTGTTAGTGGTGGTGATGGTTTGTGTCTCCATGGTCTCCATTACCCTCCTGAAAGTCGGCGTCTCGCTCTCAGTGTCAGACGGGGGTCTCTGTAAGAACATGTCACTTCAGTGTCGCCCCAGTCGGACTAATGAATTAATGGATGACTGGTTGCTCTCTGCCTGTTAAAGCTGCTGGGGTCTGTCACTGAGAGACAACTCTCTCACTGTGTGGCCTGTCTTGTTGTCATCCCACGGGCAATTTCAGTCACTGCAGTCCAATCATCGGGCTCCTAACTCCTCTTAGCTCCAAAGGGACTCTAGATGGCGCTGTTTCTGACCTTTCATTTCAAAGATGAACCTTTACCTTGATTTATGTGTGTGAGGCTCACTGGTGGCTCAGACTTTCACTCTTCCTCCACAGTTTTGATATCACTGGTGAACTTCTAAGTAAAAGCATTTAGTTTCCCAGAATGGTCCAAGCTAAGCTATCAGAGTTAGCTCACAGCTGGTGAATCTGCACACAGAGAAAGTCCCTTTCACAGCCCAAAGTCCAAAGCACAGTCCGTACAACATATGACACCCGCTGTCCTTAGACCCCTCGAATAAAGGAGTAATCCAAAGTGGTCTTTCAAAGTAAAATACCTCAGAAATATAGCAAAATAAAAGAGCAGACATGATATTTTCATGGATTGTTACCAAAAATTTACACTTTTCAGATTTTTAATAACTTTTATAGCTGAAACTGAAGGCAAGAGTAGAAGTAGAACTGCAACTAACAACTATTTTATTAATAGCTAATAATTCTTTTTCAGTGAGTTTGTCTAGAAATATCTGCAAATAGTGAAAAATGCCTGTCTGGAAAAAGCTGTCGTCTTCAAATTGTTTGTTTAGTCCGAAAATATCCACTTAACAGTTATATAAAAATAAAAAGTTGGGAATTCTCACATCAGAGAAGCTTAAAACCAGACACGGATTTGGTTTTATGCTTCTTAATTAACTTAAACCATTAGTCAGTTATCAGGCAATCCAATCAGATTTCAGGTTTACCAAGAGATTTTACTCTGAAAGGCTGCTTCAGTTTTGGGGAAACTTAAGGGCGGTGCATGTAGGATACGAAGAGTTAATGTTTGTCCCACTTCCAGAGCCAACACCTGGAGGCAGCACACAAAATAAACTGGTTTTACTATCACTGTTGTTGGTACGTGAGAAACTATTCCATCTAGAGCCCCTCGAGAGGCGGGCCACCCCCCCCAATGCCCCCCAAACCAAAAAAAGCTTTAGATTCATACACTCGGTGAAAGACGGAAACAGATCACCCCCCCCGCATTGGTGTGTGTTTGTGTTTGTGTTTGAAATTCATTTTCTGCTCTTCACGCCTCCAAACGCTTCTTTCACTGATTGATGTCATCAGTGTTTTTCGGTGATGTCATCGGTGTGTGCCGTGGTTTTTCCTAATGCTGTTCTTCCCCCCCAAAAAAACCCCTGCTTCACCCAATCATTGTTTCTCCTCCACATACTCCAGTGTGTAAACATCTGTGTTGTTTTTCAGTTTGTGAGGTCGGAGGGCACAGAGGAGGACAAGTTCCTTTAAGATTTGTCTCGTCATTTCTTTTTTAATATTAATCAGAAAGAGGACATAAAACTGCTGTTCAATACAAAGAGAGCATTCAAGCATTGTTGCGCTCTGGCCACGCCCCAATCGGTGATGTCACAGCAGGTGTTTTCCCCCTTTGCAGCCGATGGGAAAACACCCGCAGTGACATCAGGGTTTAAAGGGCCGAGCAGTTTCCTGTGATTTATTGTGTGTGTGTCCTTCAAAGAAATGATGATCACACCAACTTTCCTCTGTGTCCTCCACCGTGACTGTTCTGGCCTTTTGTTAACGCCGATGGTTCTGACCCGCTGATGTTTGTATCCTCTTCTCCCCAGACTCAACCAACAGTGACTCAGCTAAATCAAAGGTAAGCGTCTCCTCACACGATGCCAGGTTGTTCTCCCACCGCACAGATACCAGCGGTAGTTCAGCTTATGTGGAAAACGTATAAAGCGCCGTGTATGACGTGACGTTTTGTTTATTTTTCAGGGGTCGTGGGGGTCAAAGAAAGACCTCACGCCCAAGGACTTCCTGACGCTGTCCATCATGTCAGCCGTCACGGGTCGCAAACGCAGGAAGCGCCATAACGGCCGCCGTGTGGGCAGCAGCACCGACGACGACTCGGAGCACGAGCCGATCAAAGCCGGACATCTAGGGGCGGAGGAGGAAGAGGAGGCAGAGTCGCCGGTAGGAGACACTGCCCCTCGAGCAGAAGGAGAGGAGGACGACGACGAGGAAGAAGAAGAGGAAGAGGAAGACGAGGAAGTTGCAGAAAGCGGAGCGAAAGAGGAGGTAGAAGAGGAGGCGGTGGCGGTCATTCCCAGTCGGCCGTGCTGTAAAGAGGAAGAGGAGGCAGGAGGAAGGCAGGCAGCCGTGTTGTTGCAGGAGGAGGAGGCGCGGGTGGAGGCGAAGGGGCCGCAGTGGAGAGCTCCAGAGGATGCTCGCTCCATTGTTTCCGGTTACTCGACCCTCTCCACGTTAGGGCGGAGCCTGGGGTCAGAGGGGAGGGGGGACGACGCCGACGACGAGCACAGCGAGCTGGTGAGCGAGACGGACAACGAGAGCGGCTTCGCCTCGCGCTCCCTCACCCAGGAGAGACCCGATAAACACCCGAAAACACCAGCGAGCACACAGCCGCCAGCAGCCCCGCGCAGCTTCCTCTACACGCACTACAAGCCCCCCGTTCTCTCGCCCACGAACCTTCTCGCCCCGCCCACAGCCCTCACAAACACGCCGGACTCTGCGGACAGGAGTGAAGGAGGAGCGCGCTCCACCACGCCCTCATCCTCCTCCTTCTCCTCCTCCTCCACCACTCATAAACTGCATTCGCGGCCTTCCTTCAACTCCCACAAGTTGATCCAGTGTGACACTCTGGCCAGGAAGAAGCTGAAGTCGGAGAAGGCCAAGGCTCGCTCCCTGGACCTGTTGGAGCTGTCCGGGGCCGCGGCTCAGGGCGATGGGGCTAGTTCTGGGCCGGACAGCGCACCCAGAGCGAGGAGGGACACCTCCAGAACCAACCCCTCCTCAGGCAGCAGCCAGGAGAGCCTGCGCCCGGCCCGGCCCAAGCCCGCCCTGCCGCCCAGCGAGGCCGCCTCCTTCACCCCGACCGGCCCAGGGGGCAGGTCTCTGGCGGAGCAAGTCCGCGCTCGCCTGCTGGGCTCGGCCGACGACCTGCGCAGCGTGGGGCTGCGGAAACCGCTGTCGCCCGAGACGAGGAGGAAGAGACGGGCCTGGCGCAGGCACACCGTGGTGGCCTCCCCGACTGAGACGTCCGACAAGAGACCCCCAATGACTGTCAATGACTTCTCCCTGTCTCCCTTCACTCAAAACCAGGTCAAAACACCAGGGCTGCCTCGGGATGCAGACGGACTCGAGCAAGGACCGGCTACGCGTCAAGCACCCACCTCTAGATTCCACCAGTACCTGTGAGCCCTGTCAGCTGACCTCCACCCTTCACTCTGAGGAAAAGTGGCTGATTCTGAAGGCGGTTTGGGGGGTTGGAGGGAAGGGGGTCCAGGCTGAGCTGCTGACTCCCTGCAGGTCAGTAGACCGGCAGCAGCGTGAAAAACAGGGTCGTGGTTAGTTGCCAGGTGCAACACAGTGTACCAATGAACTTTAAAGAGCAGCCCAGCCCCCCTTTTTACTGTTTTTTTTCCCGATAAGCTCCATTTGCATGGCAGGGGGCATTCCAGTGTTGCCAAAGCTTTTGTTGTTGTTTTATTTTTCTCTTCCTGTATGTGTGCTTTTATAGAAATAATACAGAGACACAAACAGACCTCATCACAATCAACGTTACAGCCAAGAATTAATGAAACCGAGCATCCTTCCCCCCCTCTCTCCCCCCCTTCGGGTCCGCTACCTTTCCTGCCTGGCTCGCAGGCGGCGTTAATTAGACGGGTTGAATCCCTACAAAAGGATCTCCCTCTGGTTCCTGAGATACTTGGTGCTTCTAATCAAAGTGGGGGTTTAACTAACAGAAGAGACGCTTATAATTACACAAAGTTAATGGTCAGCTTCAATTTCAAGAGGGATCCCAACTGTTTTTTATATCAGTCTTCCTAATTTTTCACTCCTCAGACCAACAGACACTGTAATACTCTCATTTATACTCCAAACGACGGATTCAGTCGGTCACAAACACGTTCAATAAAAACAGTCGTCTCTCTCTGTACTTGTCAATAATGTTCATGTGTGTTTTGCGCAACAATATTTGTGATCATGTCCGAGCGTGCAGGTGTTTGTGTTGAACAATTTTTTGTAACATTTGTACAAAGCCTTTTGTTAAGTTAACCTTGTAAATATAAATATTATGTTATCATATTTTGTTTTTACTTTTTTTTTAGTTCCTTTTTTTATGGTTTACAAAAAGTGTGCGTACAAAAAAAAAGTGCACAGTCATTTCTTTCAAGATGTTACTTGAAAATGTTTCCCTTAATATATTAATTTTTTTTTGTTTTATATTCAATATATATATATTATATATATTTTGTATTAAAGTAAAAAAAAAAAAGTACTTTTATTGTGATTTTCACCTCTTTTTGGTGTACCTGTTCAAAAAGGAGACGAGATAAAACACGACTATACCTGTTCCTTACTCTCTCATAGATGGCCTTTTTCTCTCTGATTCTCAGCACTGTGCAGAAAACCTTTATCTCTTCGAGGTCTTACGAATAAGTTTTATCTGGTGACAAAACTTCCAGCGACGTTGCATCGGCTCGTTACGCAAACTATCTGGTGACTACATGTAGCAAGGGAGTGTCATCTGGTAATTATTCCTTTATATCGGAGGGGCAAGCTCAGCCCTGACCTCGTTTGTTTTGTCATTATTGCCTCAGATTACTGAGCGTTGCCCCCCTCCCCCCCTTACAGAGATCACAACACAAAGTGCATCCCCCCCCCCCTCTCTTATAAAAAGAGACGGAGAAAAAGTGTTTCACAGACAGCTACATGTTCACCCCAGTCTGTGGAGGTGTGTTTTCATCTCCTCCTCCACCTCTGAGGGTTCACCTGTCTACACATTTAATAACCTTAAGGGAGGTGTGGGGGAGGGGGGGAGTTTTCCATAAGGTCAGGCTCTAATGAATCCTCCCTGACTGCTGGGAGAAATGGTACATTAAAGGAAATGATGGCCTGTATCACAAAAAAAGGAGGTGTCACATTGTTTTCCTGACCAAATAACCCAGTGAAGAAATAATAATAATAATAATAATAATAAATAAGTTATAATCTTGTCTTACCTCAAGATTTTTTGTTTCTACAAGTGCCTGATTTTCTGGAATGTTTTTTTTTTTTTTCTCCGGTGCCATGTCAGTTCTTATCTCTCCGTTTCCTTCTGTTGTTTCTGGGTCTCCTCCCTCCCTCCCTCCCTCCCTCCCTCCTCTGCTGTGGTCGACAGTGTGAACTAACTTAAGGCGCTGACCCAAAGATGTGTACATTTTAAAATACAAGCGGCCTAACTGAGAGCACATTTTCAAAGCCAAGGACATGTCTATGCACCTCTCTCTTTGCCTTCAACACAGGCGTTAACAGCGGAGGTCATCTCTCTCTCTCTCTCTCTCTCTCTCTCTTTCTCTCTCTCTGCCTAAGTGATCCACAGTGTGTGAATATGGTACACCTCACAAAGCCCTAACCCTAAAAACTTACATTAAGGTCAAAACAGACTCACACTTTCTCCCCCAAAAAACAGCCAGCGACTCCCATCATTGGCGCCTGTTGTCTTGACCTGATGTCTCATTGTTGTATTTTAAAAAACACTTTTTGTACATACTATCTTTAATATGTAACATATTGTATTGTGTACATTTTGGAATTTGCTTTTTTTTTTTTTTTTTGAGTATAACTAATATGAAAAATGACTGGACTTAAAAAAGAAGAAAGTCCCCCCCCCCCCCTTATGGCTGTGTGCTTTAAAGCAAAAGGTTATATGATGTAAATAAACAGAAACTATGTTTAAAAAAAACAACAACAAATGTGCATGTTTGTTTTTGAGACACACACACACACACACACACACACACACACACACACACACACACAACCTTGTAGGAGGAAGATGAGGGCTCATGGAGCTGGCTGACGCCCTCTAGAGGCCGCAGATGAATAAGGTCTCTCCAGGCCGAGTGGCACAGATTATTGCCTCTGAACATGAGAGAAACTTCATCTAAAACCACCGAGGCTCTTCACATTTTAACTCATATTAATAGTTTAATATCATTGCATTCGGTCAAAGAAATTAACTGTAACTTCTTGGGAATCTATTCAAATCTTATGCAAATATAAAATCTTTAGTAAAACTTTTGCAGCCTTCTTTGAATATTTTTTTACATAATCACTCAAAGTGTTTCAGAAGAGGAGGAATGAACAGATATAACTCAGTGTGTGTTAACCTTCATAAAGAGCATCCCCCCTCCTCCCCCCTCTCTGGCTACAGCCCCGTGTATTCCTCCTATCAGAGCCCATTTCGGCCCAGTTCAGGATCCTTTACAAGAGGAGAAGAAAAACTCCCCTTTGTGATTATTTATGCTGACACACAAACAGCAGTTGCACTCCAGATGAGCCGCTTCCTGTGTCTTGCAGCACTTACAACACATGACAGCAGAATTTCAAAATTTTATTTGAACTTATGTTAACACACAACTGTTAAAATGTTCACTCTGGTAGTTTATTTCTGCAAAAACAAAAACAAAACAACGGTCTTTTGCAAGCTGGGCCAATTAGCTGTAATTTGTAGTTGATATTTTCTGGGGGGGGGGGGGTAATGCAACATACCATGTTTGTTTTTAAAATTCAAATATGGAACAGTACGATATATATATCAATGGATACCTACGATGTTGACCCGGTAAACAAAAACAAAGTGTCGTGTTGTCAAATACATTCTCTTTATAAAAAGAATCTGATTTTTGAAATATTTACATTTTTCTTCTTGGGGAAAAAAAAATAAAAAAATAATAATAACTTGAACAGGACAACCCTTTACAGTCCAAATAGAAAAAAAAGAAACGTCAAGTATTGCATTGCAATGCGAGGACTTCATTGTCCAGATGACAAACTGATTACAGAAAACTGATGACAATTTAAAAAAAAAAATGCAGCAGTCCCATTTTTACCTTCAAAAGGTTTGTTTTAATTGGTAGCGACCTGGCCCCTGTCCTTACTGGGCTGGTTCTGCAGGAGGAGCTCCGTGTTTTGAGCCTTGAGTCTCTCCAGCTCCCTCTCCAGCTCTCCGAGCCGCACCAGGGAGCCCTCCACGGTCGGACCCCCGGGCTCCACGGCGCGCCTCAGCCGGTTGTTCTCCTCCTCCAGCCGGGACATGCACTTCTCCAGCTCCAGGTACTCCTGGACCAGCTCCTGCTTGGTCATATTCTGCAGGCTCTCGACGTGGTACATCTCGTAGGTCTCGGAAAAGTCTCTCTGGAGAAACTCCCCACCTGCGTTGCCGGGCCTCCCGATGCCGTCGCTGCCTCCGCCGCTGCCGTCATCATCGTCGGTCACCTCGTTGTCGCACAGCTCCTCCTCGCTGCCCGTGTCCTCCATGCGGCCACCGACCCCGGAGGGTCGCCTGACCCCGGTCTCGGTGTTGAGGTCGGGCTCCTCCCGGTCGTGCTCGTCCATCAGGAACTGGGTGGTGTTGTAAGGGGCCACCGGGAGCCCTTTGGCGAACATCTCCTCTCTCACCCGGGAAGCCCTGGCTGTCTCTTTCTCCTCCAGGGCTTTCCTCTCCTCCCAGGAAAGTTTGTAATAAGGCTTCCAGTTGCGCTTCTTCTTGGAGGTCTTGCTGCGCCGGTGCCTCTTCTTGCCCAGACGCGCATCCAACCCGGTGTCGGAGTCGATGAGCAAACTCTCCTCTTGCACCTGGTTTAACGTCTCCTCCCCCGGCGATCCACCGTCGCCGTTTTTCCCCCCCTGCGAGGTGTGATGACCGTCCCCCCTTGCGTGGACATCGGCTCTCGGATGAGGCTGAGCTGCAATCGGGCACTTTGGGAGCTCGTTTCCGGCTGCTAAGGCAGGGCACACCCCCCTCTGTCCGCCTTTCGTTTGCCATAACTTGTCTGTGTTGATATCCACACAGTTCTCCGCCCGCCGCTGCTGCCTCTGCCGCTGCTGCTGCTCTCTCTGTCGCCCCCTGTCGCCGTTCTCCGGTCCACCACGGTTGCTGGCTGGGAGATGCTCCATAGCGTCTCCGCCGATCCCACCTGATGGGCTGCCTGAAGTTTTCAGGTGATGATGGGTCCGCTCCGCTGGCTCTGTCATCCCGATGATCCGCTCCAATAAGGCTCTGCTTTATCTTTCTTTCTTTCTTTTTTTTTTTTTTTTTTAGCGCATTTCAGATCATTGTTCACGCCCTCGGGGAAAAAAAAAACTCAGCTACAAAAAGTTCGTTAAAAGACGTTAATTTGAACAAAAATATACTTCTCCAGAACGAGCCGATATCACGGGAGAAAGTTCTGAGTTTGGACGTTTTAAAAGAAGACTAACTCTCGCCAACCGAAAGTAAACACTTGTTACTCCTCCAAGGGTTTGTCAGAGCAACTGTCGCTAACTACCATTAACTGTTTCGATGCTGTCACCGTTCACGTTCACCCGGAGACGACGCTCCACCGTCACAACAGTGTCCAGTGTGCTACTCAAGAAGAGGGAGCTCGTGTTTATATAGCAGCTCCGCCTCCAGCCGTGCGCATGCTGCTGCTTGTAACTCCTGTTGAATTCTGGGACATGGCGTTCTGATTTCGGCGAAGCGCTGGCGGACGCCTCCGCACCGAACTACATCGCCCACAAGTCCGTCATAACTGACGGGCGGTTTAGCCAATCAAATGGTACAATCGTGAGCGCGGTAGAGTCCACACCTCTCTCTCCTGATTGGACAAGAGGGTAACTTTGCTGTTGCTAAGCTTAAAGTATTTTCTGATTGGACGCGCCAGTAGTCAATCAGAAGTACGTAATCCACACCAAGAAAGCAGTCCGGAGCATTTTTATGGACGCTACTATGTGCAAATAAGGGGTAACGGTTAAAAGTTAGAAAATATAAGTTATTGTAAATACTTTCGAATTACATTATATTACAAGTAGAACACATTAAACACGTTTTATACGTAAGACAATAGGGTTTATTTTTATTTGCTGACCACACAGCCTGCCGCCGAGTTAAAAACACAACAATAAAAACCTCCCGTATTTTAAACAAAATGAAGAAACCCTCTCACGGAAACTAGTCCGCTTTGAATGTTCACACAAGAAAATAAGTAAAAACAGCCCATTCTGAAAATTAAATACTTTCACGGGTTTAGCAGCACAAAAAGACGTCGGTTAGTCGCCGGTTGGCCCATTAAACGTTCCGTTATGAGTGCTCCGTGTGTGGTGCGGAGGGATACGTTGCAACGGGCAAGGGGCTCGGGGGAACTCTGGGATCAGCGTAAACAAACGGCAGTTGAAGTCAGGCTGCCGCTGCGGGCACAGCTCCGAGCCCCGCGCTGTCGAAGGGTGGGTCAGGCGATCTCGCACTTAGCTCGATAATCACGCTACCGAGTTGGACGGAGTGGTGTAGATTTACGATTTGAGCGTAATTTTTAACCTCCCCCCCCCCCACCACATACACACACATACACGATCTTTTTTTTTTTTTTTTTTTTTACACCGTTTTGTGTGTCACAGCTAAGGATAAGCTAGCGAGCTAACGTTAGCCAAAGCCGTTAACGTTGGTTAGCAAACGGCCGCTACGTGGTTGGTGACGCTCCCAAAACTAAAATACAAAAACAAAAATAACACTATCACTGTATAAAGTGTGAAGCCACACGAAAATAAAGTGATAAATAAACGTTAAGTTTACAAAACAAACGGTTTTCTAGTTCTTTTAAGAGTAACTGAACGCCATATTGTAAAGCTACATAAAGCTAAATAAAGGCTAGTGCTAACGCTAACTTATAAACCATCAACGGTCGATGAGATGTTAGATTAAATGTTACCGTTTATCAATATATATATTTATATTTATATTTATCGATATAGCTGCAGCGGACACGCAATAAAGTAAATATAAAGGCCAATACTGCCAGGTAACAGGAGTAGCTAACGTTAGCCGTCTGCTAACTAGGCCAGTGTGTTGATATGGGGATGGGTGTAATTGCTGGAGCGTATGGTTTTCCCGTGAGAGCTTCCCACTACAGATTTATTATTAATTTACACATTTACACTGTGACACTGCGTCGGATCGATACAGACAACAGGCTGTGGGAAATACACAAACAGGACAGGAGAAACGGCGTTTGTTCGCAATAATCCGCGACATAAACCCCTCGATGAACTGTGTTAGTTTCGGGAAGTAGACGGTACCCGATCTTACAAGGCAGCACTGAAGCCTTCCTTTATTTTACTGCTGGTTGACTTTAAACTGGGTTTTAAACGCTTAAAACTAACAATAAACTCACACATTGTCCATTCACTTTTACATCTAACTGTCTTTTATGAAATTACTTATTGTTTGATATAAAAAAAAGACATATTGCAACATTAATATGGAGTATAAATGTCCAAATATTGGTTTTTTTAATAGGGTTCTGTTCTTTTGTATAGTCTTTACATGCATACAGTATTTTAAAGGAGCGTTTGAACACTTAATATCTCTCCCTGTAAAAAGGTCAGACTTTTAAAAAAATCTTTTTGCATGTTTCACTATATCATGCAAACACACAATTTTCCCAGTTTCCTCAAATCATTTCACTTCTATTAAAAGGCAGAAAACTGGGTTATTCTGTCTGTGACCTCTTACGGTGGGTGACTGGGTCTCTCCTAACACTGCCTGCAAAAAGACTGGGAGTCCAGTGGCCACACAAACAACACAGGCCTACTGTTTCTACTAATAGAAGCAGGCAGAGTTTCAGCTCTGGCAAACAAATAAGCAGGCCGAGCCGGGAATCCTGCGAGGAAGCGGACGATGCGTTCCAGTTAATATGAAACCTAATGACCACGGAGATTGAGAAATCATACCAAGGGGTTCCCATATTCTCGAATCAAGGAGCGGCGCTGCTACACAGGAAAAAAAAACCCAAAGCTGCTCCTGCATAGATCACAGCTTGGGAGGATTAGTGGGCATGACTTAATCTCTCACCCTGTCTAACATGGATGTTGCTGCAGTTGAGAGAAGATGAAAGATAGAAATTGTTATGCATTGGCCTTGATGTGTAAAAATTAAAGAAATGGCTGATGTGCATCTTCACGAAGAGACAGCAGGTCCAGATTTATTGAATTTGTGCAATATGGCAAAACATCAGCTGCATTAAAAGACTGAATGAGTAGAAACATATCACTTTAAGTACCTTCCACCCATCCAGACTAAACCTGCTTGTGTGTGTGTGTGTGTGCTCCAGGAGGTGCCGTGGATCAGGGAAGACCACATTTTATGCTTTTTTCCCCGACAGCAGCAGACTTTCAGGCCGTCCCTGCCGTCCCTCTCTGTTATAACTCCATTACAAAACACTTAATTAAGTTTTCCCAGCCAGTGCTCCGGCGCTGTGGGTTACCCCCCGTCTCTACATACACTCACTGAATGAATTAATACATAAATAAATCTCTTTTCTTGCAGCACATCCTCATTAAATCCAGCACATACACCTGGTACTGTAGAAGATGAATTCTGACTTTAAACAGAACTGTTTTTGTTGAGATGTGCGCAGTGTCTTTGCACGGTCAACAGGGGGCGCTGCACTCTAACTGATTGGAAATGCATTGGGACTATTTTTGATAAAACATTCTTTTATCATATTAAACTTGGCCTTTTTTCACCTTAAATGTTGTCCCAGAACTTTTAAAAGCCGAAATATGAAAGAATTTCTGTCATTTTTTATAATATTTTTGATGTTTCAAGTTAAAGGAGTGTATTTAAAGTCATTAAAGTTGAGTGTTTATAGCTTAATAATGGGTATAAATAAACATTGATCATCATTTATGTATTCTACTGTTGTCCTGATTCGTGTTTGAACTTATTCCCGGACACTTTAATTGCTTTCTTTGTATTTCAATTAAAGGTCAGTCAAGTTTAAAAGTTTAGCGGAATTGACCATCCCTTATTCTAGTAAATCAGTTTTCTTACTGTGCTTGGGGCAGGAGGAGGAGGAGGAGGAGGAGGAGGAGGTGGTGCGTAAAGTGTGCGCCTTGTTTGGAGTCATGTTACGCACAGGCATGGAGAGGAGCGCCGGGGAGGGAGGGAAGGAGGGACTCTCTTACATGTGGAAAAGGAATAACTTTTTGCGCTCGGCTGTCTCTCTCTCTCTCTGTCTCTCTGCTCGGGGCCTGTCTCCCTTTTTTTGGGGGTTGTGGGGGGAGGAGGGAAGCACAAATCTTGCAGCACACCTGCACCCTCAGACTCTGTTACTCCCAGAACTTACGGAGGCGTTAAAGCTGTACAGTCGCTGGAGTTTCCGTAAGTTTTGAATCATGTTAGGCAGCGGTAAGTCAGCGGCCAGCAGCCCCAGAGGAGGGCGGAGGAAGGCGGCAGAGAAAACGAAGGACCCCGGCAGGAGGCTCGGTAAGGGAACAACCTCCAAACTTTCTGGGATTAAATCAGTGAGAGGACTTAAATGTGCGCATGTGTGACTGTATAGTGAGGATATCTTTAATGTTCCTCCACTGGTGTTACCTCCTCATGACACTGTGGATATGATAGTGAGTGTGCAGTGATTTTTCACTGTATTTAGGAGTTAAAGTGACATCTGTTGCACTGTTGTTGTCATAAAGATGCTTTTATCATGATATTTTATTTATTTTATGCTATAAATAATAATAATAATAATTAATTACTTGCTGACTGACTGATGGAATAATTAAAAGTCTGGAAACGTGTGTTTGCTCAGCAGTTACTTTTCCAGAACAGCCCCTAAAAATAGTTAGTTGCAGCCTTAATGTTGTTACTGAAACTAACTCGGAAGGTGGAAATATTCACAATACTTTGATTAAAGACAAACTAAACTGGATTTTAATTGATGTAAAAGTCAGAATTTTTTGGGGAAAAGGACACAATTACCAATTTTATGGGGAGTAGAGGAAAAGCTTATACAACTAGTAGTGTAAGTAAGCACTGTAATGAGTAATAACTGTAAGTAACTGACTTTTGAGAAGAGTAATGAGTATTAAATTACATTTCTGACTGTTACTCAGTTCTGTATTTACTCTCTGACCACGTGCTTGTGATCTAGTTGTCTAGGTTCAATCCCAAAGTAATTTCATCAGAGAAAACAGCATAAGACAGATGTTTAATAGCTTTTATTTAGAATGACAGAGCCGTTAATCAGCAGATAATGACAGCTCACTGACACTGTGTGTGTGTGTGTGTGGGGGTGTTATTGAAGTGATCATGTGTTTATGAAGAGCTGAAGCGCTCTCTAACCCACTGGTGTGATTCAGACTCCCTCACCATCCCAGCTTACTCCCTCTCCCTCTCTCTCTCACTTCCAACACTGATATACTTCACACAAGCCCTCCCAACTCACGGTCACACCTCGCCCCAAAATAGACACCTGCTGAGCAGCGACAAGGCCACCTGTCAGAAAAGACACTGGGTGTCTGGAAATCTGGACCTCTGTTGATGGTCTGCATGCCATTTGACCTATTTATACTAAGCAAATGTAAAATGTGCTTGCGGCGACTAATGTAGAGGAAAATTCAGGATTACATCAAGACTTAAGAAGTAAACAATTATACTGAGAACTGTGTTTTAAAGACATAAAATACGGTTTAATAGTATTTTCTATGGCAGTGTTTTGCTGCCATGCCAGAAATAATATAATACAATGTATATTTATCTGGTTATAATGTGAAATGTTTCATGTTATAACTTTATAAGTCAGATTTTGGGGGAAACTCAGTCGATTTAAAGATGCCATACTAAATGCTATGTGACAAATTAAATCTCAAATAAGTAGCGCAACCTCTAGTTACCAGATATATTTCATAATTTAGATTCTATAACCAAAGCACACATCCTGTTGTGCTGATATATGTGTCACTGTACAGTGGAAGCAGTTTGCAGGGACCTGATGTGGTCTCGCTGTAGCTGGCGGGATTCAACGCTCTGTGTATTTGGTTACTTTGATTCAGTGGGACCCTGAAACACCTCAGTGTGTGTTGGCGTGGGAAATATGTCACCTGCTTTACTTTAATTGGGGTTGAAAATGAGATTGTTTCGATATAACGGCTAAAAAAAACAAACCACTACGCATATACATCCTAGTAAGAAAGGAGAAAGTCTAACTGGGGGTCTTCAGCCCCCCCAGCACCCCAACATCTGGTGATAACTTATTGTTATAACTAGAAAAGTTTCACCTATAACATAGTAACATATTTTGTTATAACAATTAAAGTAATATAAGTTATACAAGTTTCTTGTTATAATGTGATAAAACATCTCCAGATTTTAGGGTTTTTAAAATAACTTAAAGTTTGTGTCATTCCAGAAAATGGAACAAACGCTCTATTACTGGGAAATATTTCTATATTTTAATTTTATTCAGTCGTTTCACCTCGTTAAGTAAGCTAACTTGCTAACTTTTACTAACTTATAGACTTATAGTCTCAATGAAAGACATAACAAAAGCTCAACACTCATTCTGTGAACTCTACCTACCAGATTCCCACCCTACACAACTTAGAAATACTCATATCAGACAATTTGTGCCTCTTTTTAGGTGGCAGGAGTGGAAGTTAGTGAGCCTCAAAGTGTGTTGTGTTTAGGTTACACAAGGATAAAGGAGATACGCACTACAGGGGGGATTTTATTTCCTGGGAAACTATGTTGTTTTTCAGAAATTATGTACAGACTTTTAGCCATTTTATTATCTCAACTGGCTTCAGAAATAGTTAATACTGAAAACTGACTTAAAAAAATGCCCCCATACCCCTCTAGGTTTGGACTCTACCCCTGATTTTAACAATAAACTTTCCACATTATAACAGAATACTGATGCATTTTCCTTTTTCTGGCGTGGCGGCAATCGTTTTCCGTAATTTCCCCGCAACAAAGTTTATTAAATTATCCCAATAAATTCATAAAATAAAAAATAACCTTATGATCCCTTTCCTGTTCTTCCAACATATCACCAGTGTTTATTTTGGCCTTCTGATAACTGCAGATATCCTGATACAATCATTTAATTCTTGAACACTGAGCTCCTGATTTGTCATGATTTTACTGCAGTGTGTGTGTGTGTGTGTGTGTGTGTGTGTGTGTGTGTGTGTGTGTGTGTGTGTGTGTGTGTGCGCGCAGGCGTCCAGACTTTGACACAGCAGACTGTGTTGAAACTCTGACACTATGCAGACGCTTGTTCAAGCATTGCTGATGTTTGAGTTATGAAACCGTATCTCTGTGTCTGAAATTGTAATACACAGCCACCAACGCTATATTTGAATGCACCACTAATACTGAATAATGAAACCAGTGAGTGTCGCCCACCCTCCCCCTCCGACCCCTTACCGCCATGTGTCCACATAAATCAGGTGGCCTTCAACCCCTCCCCACCATGCCGCTTTAATCCGTCCCTTACATCAAATGGAAAACACCACATAATCATTTTGTGAGTGAGTTTAGGGGTTTCGTGTCATGTGGTGTCACAGGACCTTCTGGTGTGTTCACTTTCTTTAAGGCTTTTCTCTGCGGATAAAGAGGTAAACGTGGCCTGAGATTTGTCAGCTTTGAGATAAATCCACCAGTATGTTGGAAGTGCAACTGTGGATAAATATATTCATCGCCACAGACACCCCCCGGTGGGAGGAGGGGTTGTGGATTTTGATTTCAGAGGCGGTCCAAGGTTGTCTGCAGTGTTGTTAACGCTGGAGCTCTGAGACAGCAATTAACTTCTTGTGAGAACAGACAGTTTAGCCTGCATATGCACATGGATCAGGATTCACAAACAGAAATCCAGGACTTCTATTGACTTTATGGGTTCAGATGGGAGCAATGGGTTCACAGGTTGCACCTATGGGTTGGATGTATATGTGTGTGCAGTCAGCCTGAAATATCTTCAGAATAAAACGGATTGGATGGCCCAAATTCAGCTTACAAGCAGCCGTCTTTAATTTTGAGGTCAGGGTTGGTGAAGTTCTTCCGACTTTCCAAGTTAGAAATCCAGCTTTCAGTTGAAATTTCCAACTAGGAACTCGGAAATTATGACTTCCCAGTACAAAAGGAAGGCACCATTGCTAACATTAGCGAGCTTTAATTCCTAAATTGGATCCCCATTAGTTTCCACAAAAGTGGCTGCGAGCTTTATGTTGCATTTATCTTTAAAATGTGGTTGTCTTTTCCACATAGATTAGCCTTGCACATAGCATACGTAAGCACAGGAAAAGGAGCAAGTGGACCGAGGCTAGCTCAACTTTTATTGGAGCACAGAGCTTAAAGGCAGCAGGAAGTGTGAATACAAGAGGGTGTGTCAGTGTCACTATGTAGGTGTGTTGTATCTTCCACTCCTCAATTCTTACAAGAATGAACAAAACAGGGCCAACCAAGAGGGCCCTCACATCTGTGTCTTTGATCAGTGTGAAAGTACTGCCCTTTCTCTTTCTGTAAATAAACCTTTTGGTTTGTTTTGTGGCAAAAAGAAAGGTTACCATTTTACTACTACGTCTACATGTTGGGTTATAATGTGATCAAATGAAAAGAAAAAGGTGGATTGACCTATATAACTAAATTCATAAATAATTGACAAAACATATACTCTGTAATTTAAAAAGTTAACAACTATAACAATAATCCAAAAAGAAAACGGGATTAACTTTCCATAATCTGGTTTCCTCCTGAATATTTTTGAATCTTCCAAGCTCTCTGTCGCCGGGTTAAACGTTAACAAATCGTAATTATTTCACAATCCAGATATTAAAGTCGTGGTAGTTATAACGACTCTGTAAGCTGCACACGAGATTCACCTCCTCGCTGTGTGGCCACATCTTTCTCATTAGTGAGTAAATTAATGTGAGAACTGAATGCTTTTCATTTTCAGCTCGACACAAAGAGGCGGCTTTGCTTTCAAATTCAACCGTGCGCCGTCCAAAACACATTGGCAGTAATATTGCATTTCAAAATAACACTCAGTTTGTTGCTAATCCTTTTTTTTTTTTTTTTTTCTGGAGGGAATCTGTTAGATCAAGACGACGCCACTGAGAGTCACAGCTCCAAAGTCATTTCTTTTTGTCACACTTTCCTCAGATCAGTGTCTTTACTGTGACGTTGGGGTATCTTATTGATAAAAACCTCGGATTAATAGATGCAGAGGAGTGCCCTACTTGCTGCCTGACAACCGTCTCGTGGGGACAGCTGCGGGACAGAACGGAGAAAATTGAATTGACCCTCCGCCCATATCATATCAACAACACCCTGACTTGTCTATCTATCTCTAGCTGTTTCTCGTGACAGTTGTTATGCTGAGAGAAACGTGAACCATGTCCCAGGAGTAGCTGGTATGTGGGCCTGAGTGAAGAGGACTCATGCAGACCATCTTTTACTGCCCCGCTGATGTGGTTATTTTCTTTCTGAGCCTCCTCTCGGTTTGGAGGCCGCTCACAGTGTCGATACACCCTCAAGGAAAATAGTCCCTTATGGGATTGATTTTGAATGTTTATTGTTTTTGTATACGGCTGATCCAGCCTCTTTTTTTTTTTTGCCAATTGTTCACATATACAGTATGTTGGATGGATTGATAAAATTTGGTATACACACATTCATGTTCCCAGATGATGAATCCTTATAATTCGATGACCACCTGACTTTAAATCACATCCGGTTCTCAAACTATGGCTGCCTCTAGAAGTATGCAGAGGAATCTCTTAATCTCTTAATTAAAAACATATAAAGCTATCAATATCCTGTAATTTCTTGTTCCAAGATCGGCCTGCTACGTAGTCGCATTCATGCACGTAGGCCCACGCTTACATCCATGACTAGTTAGGAGCTGAAATGTGATAGTAAGATAGTAAGCAGAGGTAAAAATGAATGGTTAATGGTTGGTGCAATCGTGGCTGCAAACGGGAACTATTGGGAAGAGAAGTATGGACCAGGAGTAGCCTCCTTTTTCCCCAGTGTAGCTCTGGAACCGGTTCATTTCAGGATTCAACAACAATTAACAATAGATAATCTTCTTATTAGGAATAAAGCTGCCTCCATACACAAACTGTCTGCAGCTGAATTGAGTCGGTCTACGCTGCTGAATGTCGTCATAATGGTGGTTTATGGAGAGGCTAATATTGTCTGAGGTTGGTACTGTGGTGTAAAATGGAAGAAACACTGATCCGCCAGCAGGTCAACATTTAACAGATGATGAATCCTAATGAGTTTGTTGATCCTCTTACGTTTCCCCGAGTGCCACAAATAGGTTCACATTCGTATTTTTAGGTAAGATGTCTCACCAGGTCCCACAGGATGAATTGTAATCCCTTAGATTTAAATATAACATCATCATTAGGGTCAAAATCTGGATCTGTCCAATACTGTGTTTGTTTTTATGACCAAATACCTGCAAAACTAATGCTGTGTTTACACCCAATTAGCAAATGCATGCTAACATGCTAAGCTAAACATTAGAGCTGCGAACATAACATTGTCACTGTGAGCATGATTCATTTAACGTGACATGATTTAGGATCTTGATCTCGTTTTATATTGCTTTCTGCTCGTCTGCTTGTCCTTCTGTGTCGTGTTGACATGCTTGCATTAGAATCACATCAGCCTGGTCGCTTAGCAGGTCGGCATGCAGGGCTTTGACCGTCTGATGAAGTGGATGTCAACCGGATTTTCAGCAGGAGACGATGAAAAGAAAACACGATTCATGTCTCTCGCCTGAAGAATCACCCATGCCCATCCCTCTATTTATACCCTTATGAATAGGCATTCAGGGGCGGTATAGTGTATCAAAATGTGCAAGTGAAATGTAAACTGTGGATTGGTCCACACTTGCAGACTTGTGCTCACTTGTTGTGTTGCGGGTTTGGATATTAAAACCATGCAGGTAGCAAAACAGGAAATGTGGTTGAGGCTGGAGAGGCAACAAAAGTTTAAGTCTGTTTGGGCAGCTTAGTGTGGTCAATGACCTGCAGTTAATCAGGTCCATGTGCTCTGCTTGTGGGAATGCCTTGCATGTGGCAACAGCTTGGAAAAACAGTGTTGTTATGGATTCAGGGCTGGTAGGGGAATTTCTTTGTGTTCGACCCTAATGGGGAAGAATCCAACGCTCCAGTTTGTTTCTAGTCAGGAGGGGGTAGGGAGCTGAGAGCAGTGTCTGTTGTGCTGTAGCTTTGGGGGCCCTTTGAGGAACTTCAGCCATTTGGTACTGACAGTATGAGGACTGTGATTTAAAGGGAGGAGAAAGAAAGTATGCCAACCGAGTCTGGACAAATCTTTAGGGGTGAGCAGAAGAGACTAAGCCATGAAGAATAATTAGAAAAGAGCTCTGTGAGAGGTCCCATTCATCCCCTGCAAGAAAAGCAATGAGGCGTAACTGAATGTCCTTCAGCACTTGAACTGTAAAGCTGTAGCTGCATTACTTTGTCACAATAAGTTACAAAACACTACGTTTTCCTAACTCAAAACTTTAATCTGATTTGAGCAGGAAATATTGGGAAAGATTTTACACTGGTTTTACAAAATGTAAATTTACGTAATGCAAACCAGTTTGGAGCCAGAATGTCTGAATATTTTTATACTATTTCCTGGGTGAATGTCAGCCTTTGATACCCATTGTCTCCACTCTCTCTGTCTCCTCTTGATTTCTTATCAAATAATGGCAAAAATACCCCCTAAAAAACCAAGATATGTCAGTAAATTTGTCTTAAAGAACCTAAAATATGTTCAAATAATGAACTAATTAAGCAACAGCTGCTTCATTACACATGAAATTTGGATGGAAAAAAACCACTACAAAGCAAACAACTGTTGAAATATTCACAAAAAGTTGCAAATATGTCCACTCCACAGTACCAGATTGCACCCTGACCCCTCCCTGAGTCTCGTCATGTTTGAACTTTTGGAACGAGAGTCATGTTCAAACACTCTACGTGTCCCTTCAGCTTCAACCCTGCAGTCCAAAATCACATTCAGCTTCAGTTTAGAGCTGCGATTGTGTTCATCGTCGGTTATTTTGGCAGTTGTTTTTTTTTTTTTGCGGGGGGGTTAATCATTTAAATGTTTGGTCTGTAAAACGTCACATCACACTTTCTTCGAGGCCCAATAGGACATCCATCTTTAAATTCTACAGTCCAAACTCTTAAATTGTTTCATCTCTACTTGAGTTCTTATTTAATCAAATCCAGCTCATATAAAAATGATCTTGCGATTGTAAATTCAGAAGATCCGTTTCTAGTGCCAACATTTGGCTTTTTGATTGATCATAAAACGTTTCTTTCTTCTTCTTTTTTTTATGTTTTTGCAAGTTTTAATCTCTGTGATTCAGCGATGTCACATGACTTTAAATTAACTCTCAACTTAAAGCTTTATTGTCTGTTCACCACGTCTATAGATCACTCAGGCTTCCTGCTTTCATCTCTTATTTTCTCCTAGAACACGCCCGGATCCTTTCAGTGCTCCCAACAAATAACAATCCGATCTCTGAGGCTCTGCATTGGTTTTTTTAGCTTCTTGATTACATTTCCATAGCTAGGGAGGCTTAGTGTGAATGGTACAGCCAAGCAAACTTTCCATGCTCCTTTTCTGCTGTCTGTTGGCTTGGTACTGCCCCAAGAGAGAAATAAATCTACAGTTTATCATGACTGATTCACATCTCAACATTCAATTTTTTCTCAGCTTTATTCTGAGCAAAGTCTAGACTGGATGAAAACACACAGAGAAGCATTACTTTCTTGAAACATCAAGTCACATTTCCATGACGATCCATGAGAGCTTGACTCAGCACACTGAACCTTCTATATGACCTGAATGAACGTCTGGTCATTTCCTCCAAAGTTTGTATAGGAAACAGGAGCTTGGGTTTGGGGTGTAAGCAAAAGTGTTGACTGTATATTTGTGAGGTTGGCTTGACAAACACCATCATCAAGGTCAGGTATAAATGTTGCTGTTATACAAGAGTTATTCATTTTTAAAAGCAACATCCACCGCCGAGCTCTTAAAAAAGAAAAAGAACAATGATCAAGTGGGGTCAAGTGGCACTTAGAGGAGGTAGATACGTCACTCCCTGGCCTCTAATGTTGTTATCCTGACTCACAGGAATGAATAATCTCTATAAAACTACAGAATTCCTGAAGGGACGTATACAGTTTTCTATGGTACTCGCTGCTGAGATAATGATAGTGCATGTACAGTATATATCAATGGATGGCAAAGGGTTGTAGTGAGGTACCGGCTGCAAGTAGACTTATATATACCTTTATTTAAACTTGAAAATCATTTACCGTGAAGTCGAGTAACATTTTAAAATGACTAAAAATATATGAAAATAAAAAAAATAAGAAAGCAATTAATCAATTAAACGACTAATAAAGTACAGATGAAAGAAAACAAGTAATTTAAAACACACAAGATATAAAACAAGTTAAACAAGTGCAAACAGAGGGGTACAAGAGTATTGATCCTTAGGGTGCTTTGTAAAGATTTCCATGTAGGAAAAGCATAAAAAATAAAAGCAGATCTTCTGAGCTCGGTACAAACTGGAGGAACTTGCAGTGAAAGGACCGTTCTAGCACGGAAGTGATCCTCATAGATAAACAAACACATATGCTTATCACATCTCTCAGCCAGAGAGAAGAGAGCCGAAACACCATCACAAAAAGGAATAATTGTAATAATCCTGAATTCCAAAAGAGAATCCAACCTGATGTTTCCTGTAGTACCACCATGAAGTTCTCATTTGTGGTCCCCCCCCCAGGAATAATTGTAATAATCCTTTAAAGGTCCAGTGTTTAACATTTAATATAGGTATGTTTTCATTAGTGTAAAATCAACTGAATATATAGGAGTCGTTACATGTTTATATCTACAGACACTGCAGGTCACCTTCCATGTTTCTACAGTAGCCCAGAATAGACAAACCAAACACTTAAAGCAGTGCTGTGGCTAATTACAACCTCACATTGCCCCTATGGACGTAGCAACCTAAATCAACTAGGATACAATATAACTACAAAATTCAATTATCAAGTTTGTTTTCTTGTGACATTTTTTATGATGTTTGCACACCTTTACTCTTTGATACACTGTTGTCCAAATGAAACAGCACAAAGTGTGAGCCAATCTCAAACTGAATCACAGTTTGTTTTTACATTAAAACTTCATTGCTTTGTTTTGTGTGTGTGTGTGTGTGTGTGTGTGTGTGTGTGTGTGTGTGTGTGTGTGTGTGTGTGTGTGTGTGTGTGTGTGTGTGTGTGTGTGTGTGCTCCAGGGTTGGACAATGACGACATACGCCTGATGATGCAAGGCTCCAACATGGTGAAAGTTCGCTCTTCGAGGTGGCAGAAGAGCCGAAACCTGCGGCTGCTGGAGGACGGACTCACCGTGTGGTGTGAGTCCACCAAGAGCTCCCGCAAAGCCAAAGCCCAGCAGACATGTAAGTATTGCTGCAACCTGGGCTTTATGGCCAGGGAGAGCGGTAAGGAGAGCACAGTGTGTGTGTGTGTGTGTGTGTGTGTGGGCTGGCTTGAGCAGACTAATCATAGAGAGAGAGAGAGGATTTAAGGTGGAAAAGAGGCAAATGACCAAGTGGAAAAGGGAGTTAGTTCTGAGAAGTGAGGAGTGGAGGAAAAGGAGCTCTGAAAGTGAGAGTGCTCATGAATAAGAATTGGTCTTCTGCTATGAAAGAGAGGAAACTTAAGCGATATCAGATTAGGAAAGAGCTTTGCCTGGAGGGAAACGTATCTACAGGGGGTAATGTAGAAACAGACCAGCCGGGGCCTTCCACCAGTCCAGTGCAGACTGGGATGTGAGTCAACGTGCTCATTCAGCCAGCTTATTGTTCAGAGTTGTTGAGCTGTTTTATCTTGGCGCTGTCTCATGCCCTCGCCTCCACTTTGCCTTATTAGAGGGGTTGAATGTTCCCTTGGTGAGTGAGTAGACCAATTATGGGCTCTGCAACCTGGCTGAATAGTAATTATGTGTAAAACCAATTCCTGACGTAGACCTTTGAGGTCTTTAATGAAGGATTACTTCACTGTCAATATACGCAAGGTATCACTTCTATACATACAGTCCCCCACACATATGCATTTCATCAGTGAGGTCAGAGCGCAGGGTCTTTCCCAGCGCAGTGCCCTGCGAACTATGTCTTTTTGGTGTATTATCATTGATTTATTATCAGTAATGGCATCTTTTTTAGGAGAATTTTCTGTTAAACAGCTAATATTTTCACTGAAACATGCAGAGGAGTTGGGGAGACTTAATAAACCAGTTTACAGTCTTCCCCATGAGCTGCATATAGCCCCAAAAAAACGCCACCTAGATTTAGTTCATCATCATTTTTCAACACATTATACAAGATTAAGTTATAGTTCCTTTATGCTACTCATAAAAACAAATTTCTTTATACAGTATATAGGTGACTAAATAGTAAGACTTCCAAAAAAAGACATGATGATGTCGGCTGTGGCTGGGGTTGGTGCTGTCTTTTAGTATCCTTTGGGCTCTGTACACCCCCCAAAAGTTTTTTTCCCCCCCTAAAAAGTTAAGAAGGACTAAGAAGGCACAGGAAGTTCGCCTTCTTAAGTTTCCTTAAGGAACACAGTCGTTTCTGAGCTTTCTAAGGTGGAAATGTGAGATGACCATGACAGGTTCTCTGTGATGCTAATTCTCAGCAACCTAAACTGTTCATTGGTGTGCGTCTTTGCCTCCTTTTTTCCCCCTAAAATCAACAATTAGCTCCTTGATGTCATTTTCTCTGCATCACTCTGCAAGATTGTTGATTTCCTCCCGATATGAAGTCTCATCATTGTTTGACAACCAGCCAATGGTGGTTGTGTCACCTGCAAACTTCACCACGGAGTTGTCTCCATGTTTGCAGTCTGGGGTGTACAGTGTGAACGGGAGGGGGCTGAGCACACAGCCTTGAGGAGGGGCGCCGGTGTTGAGAGTTGGAGGAGGTGTAACCACCTGTCTGAACTCTCTGGGGTCTGCTTGTGAGGAAGTCCAATATCCAGTCACAGAGTGTGGTACTCAGGCCCAGAGTCCTGAGTTTACTAATCAGTTTCATGGAGTAGATTGTGCTGAATGCGGAACTGAAATAACTCAAGACTAAGTGTTGCTCTTTACAAGCTGCAGAACCAGTTTCTCAAAGCACTTCTGAGAATACGGGTGAGTGCCACAGGGCGGTAGTCGTTTAGACTAAATATTGCAGACTTCTTAGTACAGGCCTGGCCCTAACCAATTTGACACCCTAGGCAAGATTTTAGGTGGTGCCCCCCTTGCATTGCAATAAATTCCACTGCCAGTTATATACATACATATACTCACGCAAGAAAATAGCTTTGTCTTTGACATTTTATTTTATTTTTTAGAGAAACAAGTTGCTCAATCAAAACAGTTAACAAGACAATAATAAATTAGAAATAAATAATACAAGAAATGTAAATAGCCCACACAAAGTATAAAATGTAACTACCTACAAAATAAAAACTGTAAACAAGTGATAAAATAAATTAAATTAATTAATTATGAATTAATTATTATTGTTTAATAGGCTTTGCTATACAGTTAAATTAATGTGGGCTTTTTTCATACTAAGAAATAATAGCACCAACTAGTTTTAGTATAAAAATATTGAAAGTTTTTTTTCTTCCCCCATCGTGGCGCCCCCTAGATGGACGGCGCCCTTAGCATTTGCCTATACTGCCTATGCCACGGGCCGGCACTGCTTCTTAGGATAAATAAGGATAATGGTGGTTGTCCTGAAGGTGGGGACACTGTCCTGTGACAGTGATATGTCAAAAATGTCAGCAACTAGCTAATTGGCCCATGTTTTTGAGCTTTTTACTCATATTCACTCTCAGCAGGAGTTTTCTCACATCCACCGTGGATACTGACAGCGGACGGTCCTCTGTCGACTTTACACCTCACTCTTTGTTGAGGAGATCAAAGTGAGAATAAAATATGTTCAGCTCACACGTGGCAGGGCTTCACACATGATGGGGGCACTCCTGCTTTTGTAGCCTGCGGCGTTGTGGATTACCTGCCACATATCTTTGGTGTTGTTGGTGTTGAGCTCTCTCTCCAGTCTCTGCTGGTGTCTTTGCTTTGCCTCCTTGATGCCAGCTTTCAGTCTTGCTCTGGCGGTGCTGTATGCTACCTTATAACCTGCAGTATTTTGGCCATCCCAGCTTTCTGTTTGGGGAAGGATTTTATTGTCACCGCGTCATCAACACGTTTGTTGATGTATGATGTAATTGAAGGTGTGCATTTCTCAGGTTGCAGCCTCTTTAAAAGCTCACAGTCGTCCTGTAGAGCTACTGTAGCTCAATCTGTGCACTCATAACCTTTTTTACTGATGGTTTCACCCTATTTATCTGCTGGGTGAAAGTAGACATGAGAAGCACAGAAATATGGGTCTGATAGACCAGATTGGGGACGGGGGGAGGGCTCTTGTAGCTGCCAGATATATTAGTCTAAACATGGTCCCGTGTATTTGTTCCCCTGTTGAGGATGTGGACATGCTGGTAGAATTTAGGTGAAACAGTTCTGAGAAATGTTTAAGATTAAAATCAACAGTTACAATAAAAACACCATCTCGGCTTTAATTTGCATCTGGAGGAATGTAAACAGCAGCCACATCTGGGTGTGTGTTTGTGGTTTTCAGAGGACAACATTAGCTCGTTTAACCTCGGCGGAAGTGTTTCACCTGCCTCATATTTTCCATATTGACACAGCAAAGATAAACAGAGGAGATTAGACTCTGTGGGGAGAAAGTCAAAGTGCAAAGGCAAAATTTAATCTTAAAAGTTTCTTTTCTCTTGCAATGAAAATCTTCTGCAAGAGAGCTACAGCAAAGGTTAAAAGAAGTCAGCTGACTCGCATGTGATCAATCTCTCTCACCCTGTTTTATTCTCTTCCTTGTTGCTTGACCTTTAGCTCTCCTGCCTCTCCTCTGTTTGTGCTCTCTGTCCTGATGTGAGAATGCAATATAATGTTAACCCCCCGCCAGTGGGTGGGCCGGCTGGGTTTATGGGTCAGCCGATGGTGAAGGCCGTCTTGATTGAGCTGCAGCCGCGCCAGAAATAGCCTCGGAGTGGTCTAGTTGCAGCGTGTAACGCTCCTTACAATGATGACACTTGGCATAGAATATAACACTTAAGACTTCTGCTGTTCCTTTACTGAACCACACACACGCTTGTCACTTTTGCCGTGTCTCAGATAACCACAAAGGAGGAATGTGGAGTAATTCTGAGGAGGTGGACGCGGAGGCTTTATGACCTCCAGGAAGAGAATAAGGCTATTGTCGGGGCAAGACACTGCTTATAACCCAGCTGAGTGATCGCCACACTGCAGGCGTCCCAGAGTGGAAATAGATGAGCTCCTGTGCTGAATAAAGTATTTGTGTTGGGATCAGCTAGCAGCCAGTGTGCGTTTGTGTGTTTGGCTTTGTATTTTCTGGGCAGCGAGTGTTGCCCGGACTCACCACAGCTCTGCAAATCTGAGATAAACAAATCACACTAAGTTGTAAATCTCAATCTTTTTGGCTCGTGACTCCTCAGACAAAATCACAGCACAGTTAAAAACGCCTATTAGAGGATGTACATATATTTGCAGAGTAGTGAACAATTCAACCAAAGAATGATTTTCCTTTAGCAGAAAGGATTTAACTGTTCAGTAACTGACACAAAAGTTACATTTAAGAGAAAAATGTGTGCCATTTCAGAGTATCTATTGGCAGAAACGGAAAAATATATATCTAAATGTGGTTTCCAGAAGATGAATTTAACTTATTTTGGTAATTCCCTGACTTTTCCTGTCTAGCCACCAGCAGAGGTTTTTACTGGTCCTGTTAAATTCGCAAACACTATAATTACTACGTATTCATGACTTCTAATTAGCAAATGTTAGCCTATTAACAGACTAAGTTAAGATGGGTGTGCATGGTTATCCGTATGGTTCATCTTGTACGGCCAGCATGGTAAACATTATACCTGCTTAACATCTACATGTTAGCACTGTGAGCAAAATTAATTGACGAGTCAATAAAACAGGACGAAAGAGAGGCTGAGAAGACGGTGGTTTTAAGGGGACAACATTCGCTCTTTTAACCACAGCAGAGGCATTGCCTGCATCATATTTTCCATACTGACACAGAAGAGTTTTTTAAACAGAAGAGAGACTCTGTGGACAAAGTCAAAATATAGGGCATTTATTCTTTAAAGTCTAAAATACATGGTTGACATTATACCTGCTTAACATCTACATTTTAATTGAAAGCATGCTGTAGACTCTTTATTCTAGTTTTTATTACATATCCCATAAATCAGCCTTCCAAATGATCCCATGCAGCCGGCACCTTTACATATTAACTGCTATAAAAACCCATTAAAAGACCTTGTTCTACCTCCTTTACACATTTTTATTATTATTATAGTTAATTATTATTATTCTTTTGAGAAGTATGTTATATTTTACAATCACGTCGCTCAGTCACTCTGCTTGGTGAGATTTATGAATCCCTAAAAACACATGAGGTTTGACCTTTAGCCGCTTTGCTCCATGGCTGTGTTTACTCAACAACACAAGAGCTTTTTTTATTGAAGTCTTCTCCTCTCCCAGTCGCAGTGACAGAAGTGGAGTGTGTGCGTGAGGGCTGCCAGTCCGAGGCGCTGAGGCGTCTGTCTGGGTCGGTGCAGGAGAACCAGTGCTTCACAGTGATCTTCAGAGGAGCCAGGAAGAGCCTGGACCTGCTGTGTCCCTGTGAGGACGAAGCTAAGCGCTGGGTGCGAGGGCTCCGCACTTTAAAGGATCACGTGGCCAACATGACTCAGAACGAAAAACTGGACCAATATCCTATATATGTATAAATGTATAAATATAGTGTGGCTGAGGCAGCACTGCTATGGTGACTGACTCTGCTGTCACATGTGCCATCCCACGTCCACAGCATTGCTAAGGTGAGCAGTAATGACCAGATAAAAAAGCCCTGTCTAAATATAGTCCGACTGTCACTGTTAATTACAATCCCAGGTAGTGCTGCTGTTGATATCATTTTCGTTTTGTGAACATATGAATACAGCAGCACAATTATCTTGTACATGCTATTTTGTAGTTTATTATGTTTCATACTGTAGCCTAGGTGATGTGTATCTTAAATGTGTGGGCTTTCTGTGTTACAGGCAGGTAACAACAAACTAAAATAAGTCTCTTGTTGCTATCGACTCTTTCATGCAGCTATATATTAATTTGGCAGATGCTTTTTTTTCTCCAAAGGGACGTACAATAATTGCATTCTGCCTGCATATATGGCATCTCATTATAAGTGCCCCCCTCCAGGGCAAACGATATGTGCCAAGTGGTTCAATAACCAATAAAAAGCTGCAGTATGACAGCACAGAGCGTAGAAAATGATGTCTCACCACATCAGGAAGCATAATCCAGTTAAGTGTAAGATTTTGAATCCAAAGACCGCCTTAACTGTTTAGCTTTTTAGTCCGGGTTTATTCCTTAACCCTCCACACTTGGATCCGAGGATACCTGAGGCGAGCGGATCAGAACCAGGACGGCAAGATGAGCTACGATGAGGTCAAGCGGCTGCTTCAGATGATCAACATTGACCTGAGTGAGCAGTACGCCCGCTCTTTATTCAAGGTCAGGGTCACCATGTGTACGTTACATGAGTTTCTGAGCACCTGTACCCTCAGCTTATGGTCACTAGATGTAATTTATATGAGCTCAGTTCTGTACAGTCTGTGTTCAATTACCAAGCCAGTGGCAAGCCAACCACCAGCCCCCCTCCCCTTCACATTTTATCCCCTCCCATAACAAATCAAGAGCCAGTTATTTTTTTATTGTGGCGGATTACTGCCTGCTATGTCCCTCGGATCTCTATTACAGCAGAATTGTTGGTTTTTATGCTCCTTCCTGCTGCAATCTCCAATACCGGCCCTCCTCAGAGAACCATATTTTATAATGTAAGTGTGCACAGCTGGGTTGTATTGTTACCGAGATGCTTTGTCCACAGGGAATTCGAAGCACTCCCAAAAGAAAAGCATACTGTGTTTGATTAAGTCTACCTTTCTCTCTCTGTGTGTGTGTGTGTGTGTGTGTGTGTGTGTGTGTGTGTGTTTTAACCCATCCCGATCCCCTGCATCCCAGAGGTGTGACCGATCCGGTGATAATCGCCTGGATCACATAGAGATCGAGGAGTTCTGCAGGGAGCTGCTGCGACGGCCTGAGCTGGACGCGGTGTTCAGACACTATTCAAGCAATGGTTGTGTGCTCGCTACCGCTGAGCTGCGAGACTTCCTGGGAGACCAAGGAGAAGACGCCTCATTGAATCACGCCCAGACTCTCATACTCACCTATGAGCTCAATGACTGGGGTAGGCCCCTAAAAGCATTCATTAAAGGCTTTAAAGGGCCAAAAAGGGCTTATTCATTACGTCTGCTTTCAGTAAATATTAAAAAACAATATTCACAGTGTTACAATGATATGTATGTATAACAATATGACATTTAAAAAACAGTCTATTTAAAGCTTGCTGTAAGCGGCTACAAATGACAATTAGACTAAACTACTGTTTAGCATGTAGTTCAAATGCTAAGCTACAGTAGCACAAAAACGGGTCATAAAGTCGGTAAACTAACTCAGTAATGATCCTTTATACAGCAGTATTTACCTACATTTGACCTCGCTAACTTTAGCTGCCATTGTTACATAGTCTCACAATGTCATTATAACTAAATTAGTTAGAATTAGATTAATATTACTGGTTATTTTAATTATCTGTAATTATCTTGTACACAAAAGTCCATATTTGTAAAACATTATTAGGTTTCCAAGATAAAGGAGCTAAATGGGTGAAATGTTTTCAACACAGTTTGACTGCCAGTAGAGAAACATCACAGCTTAAAAACCAATGCTGTCAACATAATTAATAAAAGACTCCTCTAGACTGTGACAGAAGGAGGCTGTAATTTAGTGTAAACCGTTCCCTTTTAATTAAATTCTCACCAGTTTTGCTGGTAAACCAACTCGACGGAAACACGTTTCTATTTATTGCAGCTCAGAAGAACCAGTTCATGACCCAGAATGGTTTCACCATGTACATGCTGTCGCAGGAGAACGATGTGGTTAATCCCGACCATACCAGAGTCTACCAGGACATGAGCCGCCCTTTGGCCCACTACTTCATCTCCTCGTCGCACAACACTTACCTTACCAAGGATCAAGTTACCAGTGCCAGCAGCACTGAGCCATACATCAGGTATTCAGACATTGACCCATCCAACAGCTATTTGGATTTTCAGTGCTCTCTGTGACCCGTCCTGTGGTACGTGTCTCTCTCTGACAGGGCTCTGAATCAGGGCTGTCGCTGTGTGGAGCTGGACTGCTGGGATGGAGATAAAGGGGAACCTGTCATCTACCACGGCCACACGCTCACCTCCAAAGTGCCTTTCAAGGAGGTCATTGAAACCATCGCCCAGTACGCCTTCAAGGTAAGAGGAACTTGATTTCATGGTGTAAATCCTCAGCTGTGACTGCGTGCTTGCTGCTTCCCGTTACCGCTAATGAAATAAGTGAGTAGTCAGTCAGTAAACAAATCCAGATCCCTGACTTCTTGCTTCTTGTGGTTGCATACTTGGCTCAGAGGCAGCCCAGCGGTATTTTGGTTTTGACATACTATAGCATTGCAGTGTTGGGTTCATGTGCTGCTATTATGTGCTCTAATTGCATTTTATGGGCTTGGCGTACGGGTTTTCCTGTGTTTGTCCCTGCAGGCGTCCCCATACCCTCTAATCCTGTCCTTGGAGAACCACTGTTCTGTGGAGCAGCAGGCTGTCATGGCCAAACACCTCCGCGCCATCCTGGGCAACAAACTGCTCACCAAGCCCCTCAGTGGCCAGCCGCTAAAAGACCTGCCTTCTCCTGAGGTACAAAGCACACAGCTGGATCCTTTTTCTAAGAACTCTGGCTGTCTGGTTTTCTAATGAAGCAATTTGTTCCAATGATCTTCGCTGCAGGAGCTGAAGGGCCGTATTCTGGTAAAAGGGAAGAAGCAGATTTCTCACCTGAGCCAGTTGGGCAAGAATGACAGCTGTGCGAGTTTCTCCTCAAGCTCTGAAGATGAAATAGCAGGCAGCACCAAGAACACACCCAAGAAAGATCCTGCAATGGTCAGTTCAGGAAGACTTTCATCAAGCCTGAGACGCTGTTAAAGTGAACTTTTTAGGTAATCTGCCAATTATCTTTGATGTTCGTGCTTCCCAGGTCTGTTCTAAACTGAGCCCAGCGCTCTCAGATCTGGTGGTGTACTGCAGAAGTGTTCCCTTCCGTGGGTTTGAAAATGCATCTGGAAAACTCCCAAATGAACTATCCTCCTTCTCTGAGAATGAGGCCCTCAAGCTCATCAAAGACTCAGGTACAACAGAGGAAATAATTGCATGTTGACGATAGATGATAGAAAGTCAACAAGATTCTGCAACATTGCTTTTGCTGCAGCTGATTCTACAGAAAAATATCATCAGCCTCCGGTGTATCATGGCATGTCGTTTTCTATCTTTTCATTTGCAGGAAAGCTTTTTGTGAGACACAACAGCAAGCAGCTGAGCCGGATCTACCCCTCTGGCCAGCGCCTCCAATCATCCAACTATGATCCTCAGGAAATGTGGAACGGTGGCTGCCAGATGGGTTAGTACTCCAGACTAGAGGCTAGGATGCTGTTCTGATGGAGAGCAAATTAAGGCAATTCATTTGAAAAACATTATGTGGTCACTAAGAGCCAAAAAGATGTTTTACTGACTCTCACTTCTGCACATTACTGCCACACCACAACACATCGATGTCACCGGCTTTTTACTGATTTACCGAATGTAATTCAGCACTCACTGATGCTGAAATGTTTTCCGTTTGCACGTGTGCGATCAGGCTTGCCATGTAACTGACTCCTCTCTCTGCGCTGTGCAGTGGCTCTGAACTTCCAGACACCCGGGGAGCAGATGGACCTGAACCAGGGTCGCTTCCTCCCCAACGGTCGCTGTGGATACGTCCTCAAACCGAGCTTCCTGTGCAGTCCCACGTCCAACTTTAACCCAGAGAACACGGGAGGAGGCCCCGGTCACGTCCCCACCCAGCTGACTATACGAGTGAGTAGTAACCTATTGAGTAACGGTGTCAAATTTGTCCCAAATGAGTCATAACTGATATTTAGGATGCAATGCAATGCAATTTTGACATATTTTGTTTATTTAGATCAATACTCTTCATGTATGTTTACACTTTATTACTCTAATATTGTCTCTTTGTTTTTACATACTATTGTTGTTTCTGTTTACTTTACAACATCTTTTGTATGTCTGTTCATTCTGCAAGAGGAATCCTTCCTCTCTCACCGTTCCTGAGATTTCTTCCTGTTAAAGGTTGTTTGTTGTTTTTTTTTTGTTGTTGCTTTTCTTATCTGAAATAAGGTCCTAAAGATAAAGGCTGTTGTATGCTGTACAGACTATGAGGCCCTTTGAGGGATATTTGCGATGTTTTGATCGTTTTGACTTGATTTGAATATAATTTTAATAGATTCCCTATCAGAATTTGATCAAAATTGACTGATTAGGTCTTGCCTTACAGATAATATCTGCGCAGCAGCTGCCAAAAATCAATACAGAGAAGGCCAGCTCCATTGTGGACCCACAAGTGTGGGTGGAAATTCATGGGGTGGCTATTGATAATAGAAGAGACAAAACCCACCGCATCGACAATAATGGTAACTCTGAGACTTCATTAAAGCATCAACTTTATATTATCACCAGTATGAATGTTTTAAGCAGAGAGCTTTATGCAAACATGTTAATGCTGTAAAATCATGTTATGCAGTTTTTTGAATTATTGTCTGATTTTATAATGATGTAATGAGGCAATAGATGGCAGCAATAAGCAGCTCAGCTCTTTGACATATTTTAGCAGGAGCCTTTCCAAGGCCATGATTAATTTGTTTGAAAGGTGCAGGACTGGATGATGTATTTACAGCTCTTGTGCGCCCTCTACAGGCTTTAACCCACGATGGGACTGCACTCTGAGCTTCCAGCTGCAGGTCCCCGATCTGGCCCTGGTGCGGTTTGTAGTGGAGGACCACGATCACACTGCCAAAAATGACTTTGTGGGGCAGTTCACTATACCTTTCACAAGCTTACGAACAGGTGCTTTTAAAGATTCCCTGTGCATATTATAGAGCAGTCGCCACTGTGGCATGTTGTTTGTAACATGTGTAATATATTATTTCTTCTCAGGTTATCGACATGTTCATTTACTGAAGGCAGATGGTTCCAGTCTGTCCCCCGCCACACTCTTCATCCACGTCAAAGTCCGCAAAGGAGTTCCCATCAAAACTGTGTCCGAGCGTATAGCCATGGCCAAAAGCAAGGCATGACGTGCATCTGAACTAGACGGAAAGCTGCATTTTCTGATAACAAAGGGCTTTGGAAAGGGAGCTCTAAATGTGAGGAGAAAGAGAGAGTGAGAGAGAGAGAGAGAGAGAGAGAGGGAGAGACTGCTGCTTCTGCTGCTGGCAGACGGTCCCAGTTCAGACCTCAAGTGGTCCAATTTACACTGAGCCACTTCCCAATGCAGGAAGAAAGATGTCGTTTATCAGAGATGAAGAAGCGCGCTGCCTCTTAGCAAATGAATTGCCTCGGGCTGGATAATGAATCCGTGTTACTGTGGGAGTATTTGGTCTTGTCAGTGCTGAGTGCTCTGGAAACGAAGGATTGTGGTTCGTGATCCACACTGATATGGGATTTGTTACAAAATTCAATTTATTGTTATTAACTCTCATGTGTAGGTTATCCTTTAATCTGTCACAGTGTTAAGATGTGTTATTTCAGTGGTTCCCAACCTTTTTCCTTAAGGGACCCCCTTTTTCTATCACTGAGTAAAGCCCTGACACATTTTATGGATAATTAGTATAATATTCAATGCATAACAATAACAGAACAGAACAACAGTGCAAGTAACACAAATAGTGAACACAATAACTGCAGGATGTTAATGTAAAATGAGCGATTTGGATGAATTTTGAGCAGATTATTTCCGGTTTTCTTGATATTTTTAGTCTGTTTTATATATATGTGTGTATATATAGCAGGATTACTCTTTTAAGATACATCACATTACAGTGCAAGTTGTGCTTTTCAGATGTGAAAATGATCTATAGGCTGCTGCCTGGATTTGCTTAATGAAAAGTTTTTACACTTAGCAAAGGACATTTGTGGCTTCCCCATTTTCTTTTCTGAGGTCACATTGTTCTGTTGTCTCATAAAATTAATGAATATCATCTTACTGACATTTCTTTTCTCTTGTCTTTTTAGTTTTCTTTAGTGTTGAGGTAATCCAAAAGTACTTAACTGACATTTTAAATTTAAAGCATATATTTTTAAAGTTGTTTTTTTACACCTCTTAAAATCAAGAAGGCCTCGCGACCCCCCAGCGAAGCTTTGACGACGCTTCGGGTCCCGATCCCCAGGTTGGGAACCGTTGTGTTTATTTAATCCATTTACATTTTTCATCTAGAAAATAAAGTATGATGATAAATACTTAAAAATGCTTAATAATAAAAAAAACACACTTACTTAACTGAGGCTGACTCATAGGTGCTGTAAGTAGGAATTTAAACATGACTGTCTGTGATTACAAAATGATGAAATATGTTTTAGAAATGATTGTTTTCAGCACTAAATGTGATGCAATACAGATGAAATAATGTGTAAATGATTGTCATAGGTTGTCTTGTCCATGCAGACTGAACAAAATGAGAAGTTAGTCTTACCTGATACTCCAGATACTTGGCACTTTTAATTTCTCTCCAGAAAAAGATTTTATTTTCTGAGACAAATAACAGTATATTTCCACAACATACGAATTAACTTGAAATATTAACAGTATTAACTTACCTACTGATGTTTACTTGTGCTTGTCAGTCAAATAGTGTTTTTTTTTTTAAGATATTAGCTTGTAGGCTCCTTGACAACTCTGCATAAATCATGTGTGTTGCCAGTTCTTGTCCTTAACATTTGGATGTAGAAAATTGTATTTGCAACAATCTAATACAACCAGTAATTACTGAAAGCTCGAGTGAATCATTTAATAGTCTTACAAGGAGGTTCCCTGATAATAAAACCGTGCCGTAATGAAAGGTGCTGCACGTGGATTACTGTAATTACAGCATATATGATCAGGATGGATTTCAATGGCATGTGACAAATGGTGAGTGAAGAATGACTTTGCAGTTTGAAAATCTTATAGCCTATGTTGTGTGAATGGCAGTCGGTGGTTTATGTGTGCAGGAGAAAATACTGTTTTCATAAAAGAACTAATAACACATTGCTGTGTGAGCCCTTTTTGTTGTTGTGTTTGCAAGATAAAGAGAGACAGTATATATGTGTTTGTGTGTGAGTGTATAGGGGGATGGGGACTGCGCAGGAATACATAGATGGAGGAATATTTCCACATCACATTTGGTTTGCATTTAACTCTTCTTTACCTTCTGAACAGCTGAACAATTTGCAAGCTGATAAGCTTTGCAGATTCAGAGGGCCAGTGAACTGCACGTGCACTGCAGTATAATGCAGGAGGCTATTTGTAATAATGCTGGTACCACTGTGTAAAAACAATTAAAGGTCCAGTGTGTAGCATTTAGGATGATCTGTTGGCAGAAATGTAATATAATATTCATTGGTATGTATTCTTTAGCGTATAATACCTGAATATAGGAATTATTGTGTTTTTGTTACCTTATAATGAGCAGTTTTTAACTACAGACGAAGGGGGTCGCCTTCCATGGAGTCCACAATGTTTAACCGCCATGTTTCTACAGTAGCCCAGAACAGACAAACCAAACACTGGCTCTAGATTTTCAGCCACCGTAGTTTCTCCTACACATTTCACAGCCCATTCTCACTCCCAGGTTGTCAAATACAGACGCCAGCGGTGTTCAGTTAGTTCAAATCCTACACACTGGTCCTTTATTAAAGCTGCAGTAGGTCACTTTTCACATATTTGCTGAAACTTTCACTATATCCTGACAGTAGTACATGAGACAGATAATCTGAGAAAAAAACAGGTTCCTCTGGCTCCTCCTAGTGCTCCTGATGGCGTTTGCAAGAATCTACCCGGCCTGAACAAAACGACATAAAGACGCTTTGGGTTGGAGAATAAGAAAGCTAGTTGATTGTTGATTATCTGTCTCATGTTCTACTGTCAGGATACAATGTAAAGTCCAGAAAATATATGACAAAAATATGTCACAGTGCACCACACTTTGTTTAAGTGAGTGTTTTTTTTTTGGCTATCGTGCTCTTTATTCAAAAATGAATAAAAGGTTTTTGATAAGCTTGCAGTGAAGCTCACGCTGGTCTGCACCCTCCCCTCTCAAAGTCATAAACCACGTTTCGAATAAAGCACCTTTATCTGAACTCTTATAAGAACTTATTTTGGGTTTCCAGGTTGTTACAAATTCTGTTGGCTGGTGTTTATCATTTCTATTTTGTAATAATGCTTTTATAAATGTTGAAGATCTTGGTCATTTTAGGGTTTGTCACTAACCCATTAATAGCACCGGTGTAAATAAGTTGCTGAATCCAGATTCTCAGCCGGCTGTTTCCAGCTGATAGATGATCAAACTGTCCAACCAAGTCAAGTCAAATTGTTCTCTTATTTAAGAAAAAGTTGTGATATTCTATATTTTTCTTATTGTCAACAAACCCCATGAAAACACAGAAACCAACAATTTTTTCATCCCACTAACAAGCATCGCCTGTGTACTCAAAGCCTGATAAATCCTATTCCTCTGTGCCTCTATTATTGTCTAAAAACGATTAAAAACACATCAGTAAGCCACACCGTTGCACTGGGTGACCTGTCCCTTCATTATGATGAACATGAGCATTGTAATTTGATTTGAATCAGTCCAAAATGCACTATCCTGCTGCTGTAAATGCTTGTGAGTGCATCATGTTCACAGCTGCAAACGGTCCCCCAAAAACACACTATTAACTCTAGTTTGACAAACGTTTGCCATAAACCACAGTGCCCAGCTGTTTATGGAAACTATTGAGCCTCTTTTTAAATATCAAACTATATATGCAGGGTAAGGAAGTCATTTCTTTGTGTGTTTTGTTGACAAGAAACATTAAAAAAATGCAATTTTTATCATTTAATGCATAAAACATTTATAAAAATCGTTCCCAAAACACTTATTACCATTAATTAAGACTTTAGTTACAACTTACAACCACTTCTTAAAGGCTGTACCATTAGAAAGCAGTCTCATTTATCACTTTATACATGTGGTCAGTGGTGTAGTGCAGGGTATGTACAGGTATATGTATATACCCACTTATTTTACTTCTACATCCCCTCTGATGTGCATCCTTCAGTTATCCTCTGCGAGCTGATCTGTGGATGGAAGATGTTAAGGTAGCTGCGAGACAATATCCACATCTACTAATGTTAATTTCATAATAATGATCCTCACTGCCTGAAGTCAAGCAGCAGAAGTGAGTGTGCAAATATCATATTATAATGTGAGCTACATATGCAAGAGTATGGTGTTTATCCTGCATGTGATTAATAAAAAAAAAGTGAAATTAGTCTGGGTTGTGCACAACTCATATCCGCTCCTCATGTGCTTCCTGTCAACCCCCTTTCACTGTCATCATTATTTATTTATTTTTTTGGGGCCAAATATAAATCAAATGTCCTCTAATCATGTTTGAGATTAAATCCACCAAAAACTTTGAGATTTTTTTTATTTTTATTTTTTTTAAACTTCACAATCAAAACCCCCTCACTTCATTAAATGCCATGTTTTATTACAACTTCTTATAAATAAACAAATAAATAAATAAATAAAAAGACAACAGTGGAGACATGTCACGTCACCGCTCTCAGCCAATAGCATCGAGGGAGGTTTAAAGCCGTCGGTGGCACGCGGTGGCTCCTCACTTCCTGGTTGAAGATGGCGGATGAGAATGAGACAGCACCGATGCCGGAGAAAGAAGACGCGGAGGACCACGGACACTGCAGCGACTGTGAAAACGAGGAGCACCACTTTGACGACGGGTGAGCGGGCGGGCTCGTCGCGGCGGTTGAGAATGTGTCACCTCGCTTGTTGCCCCGTAGCAAAGCGAGTGCGAGCTAAAAAGCCTCCGCGGAGCAGGAGGGGGCAGACAGCCATCGGGCTGGAAGTAGTCCCGCCCATTTGCCTTCACCCGATTGGCTAGAAGCGGCGCTCCGCAGGCCGGTTCTGTGCTGTGATTGGTTGAGAGTGCGTTCTGTTCCCTCGTAGTGGGCGGGCTTTGACGCTGCCCTCCCTTCCCCTCCTCTTCTCCTTCAGGTTAGCTAGCCGTTAGTAAATGGAGGGGGGGTAGAAAAAGCAAAGAGCGTTTAAAAGCTGCTGTTATACTAAAATATTAGATTTTTACCACGACTTGTGAAACGTCCATTAAAACGCGGCTGTTTTTTTTTATCACGTTGGCAGCCCGGTCTGTTAACCGGGAGCCGTTGGGAGCCGTTGGGAGCCGTTGATGGCAGTTGACGGTTAGCAGCGGGGTTAGCTCCCATGCTAACGTAGCTGTCAAACCGCTATTGTCTGTGTGTGTGTGTGTGTGTGTGTGTGTGTGTGTGTGTGTGTGTGTGTGTGTGTGTGTGTGTGTGTGTGTGTCGGCCGCCGAACCAAAAGCGAAATAAACACCCTAACATGTTGTTACACATGCTGCATGGTAATTAAATCAGTCCTTGTACTTTCCTCCTCCTCCTTCATCATCATCCTCCCTTTTTTTTTTTTTTTTTTTAATTTATTTACATTAAAGGAATATGAAAAAGATCCTTAAATCAGCCTCGTACAAAACAGGGTTTGGTGGAAATCCTGCTTCGCTTATTAGTGTCTGTTAATGTTTACAAAGCGGTGACACACTTAAAAAAAAAAAAAAAGGGGAGACTTAAAAGCGTGCTAATATTAAGGCGTGTCCTGCTCATGGCTGTATTTTGGGCAGCAAATGGAGAGAGAGAGAGAGAGAAAAGTGGTGCTGTAAGACCACTTTAAAGTCATCAGTGTTTACTTGTAACCCTCCATCACAAGTTATAGGTCTTATTGTGGTCATGAGATGGGGAATATTATGACTACACATCCTCTTAAGATTGTTTTAATTTAAGGATTTTGTTTTTTAGTTTAAGGCCTGAAGAGGTGCAACTCAACCTACCCAACCCACCACTGCTGTTAGAGGGAAAGTGATGACCCTGTTTATTAACTATAGTGAAGCAACACATGTAACTCCCATACACACACACACACACACACACACACACACACACACACACACACACAAAGAATAGTCCTGGCTGTTTGCTCGTCCACTCTGTTCGAATGGAAATCTGTGGAACAAACTATTGAATGTTTTGTTGTCCATTGTCCCAGTCAGTCACTGACCTCTTGTTCATACATATGTGTACACACACACACACACACACACACCTAGATACCCCACACACACACACACTTCTTCCAGAGGTCATGTGATTCACCATCTGTGCTGGTGTTACAAATACGGGCCAGTGCTTGGCCTCTCAACCTCTATTAGTTGGACACTAATGAGATTATCCTCTGTAAGTATGCAGTCTCTCTCAGACTAGAAACTGGGATAGCTGGTGTGTGTGTGTGCGCGTGTGTGTGCGTGTGCGTGTGCTTCCTCAGGATTTACATGATAAGACAAATGTGGGGTGGGGGTTACGGCTGGTGGGAGGAAGGGTTGCAGGACTACCTGTGTATGGTGATACAGGTGATGGAGAGGGACACACATGCTGCTAGTTTTTCTTCTTGCTAAAAGACTGATGTAGTTGTTTTCTTACCTGTCCAAGAGCTACACCTGAGATTGTCAGTTTGAGAATGGTTTCTAAGAGACAGACTAAGTCTAGAAAACCTTTTCCTACTAACAGTTACTGTATTTCTCACTAAACTATGAAAAGGTGTTGGAAAAGTGGGAAAAACCAGTAAGATGTGTGTATGTATATAATTTTAATACAAAAGTGTGTGTGTGTGTGTGTGTGTGTGTGTGTGTGTGTGTGTGTGTGTGTAATGCAGCTTTAATCATCCTGTGATGTCCCAGGTAGAGGTAGATTAAAAATAATACAGTTTGACCACGGTGTGGCTTTCCTCTGGGATGGCAGACTAATGTGGATATCTTTCTATTTCTGTCCTGGTTCAGTGACAGGGGTCTGGGTGACGACACTGGCGCCAAGAAGAAGAAAAAGAAGCAGAAAAAGAAGAAGAAATCTGGTGCCCCAGAAGCAGCTCAGGACCCCCTTGCCAAGGTATTAGTTCCA